GCCGCCGAGCACGGTCGACGATCCGCGTCCAACCTTCACGTAGACGTCAACCTTCTCAGGGATGCAATGCTTGGCGATAGTGGTGGCCTTGGCTTGATCCATGTAATCTCTCCCTTGGTCACGACACGCTTCTCCTGGTGGACCACGTTGTCGTGCAAGATGCCGTCCATCGTCGGTTTGTGCGCCCTCGCACCGTCCGTGCGAAACACGTCCTGTCCGACCTTGAGGAACTTGGCGGCGATCGGTGCCCAGTCGCGATTCCGCGTGGCCCCTGGGCCACGGACGCGGCGAACTGTCCACGATGCCGCCTCACTGTTCCCACGAGACGTCTTTCTTCTTCGCGTCGATGGTATCTACGATCGTCTTAGGGAGGTCGACCCTGTCGGCCTCGACGTCGTGCCAGCGCCCAGTCTGGCCAGATTCAAGCCCGCGCTGTTTTTTCACCAAATTCGACCCAACCTTTTTTTTGCATTTTTTCCATAGCCCCCCCATGACCTTATGGGTCTTGCCCGCCAGCAAGTGGCACGCTGACTTCTTGACCCCGACCGTGGCGCAGAACACCACGGCGGTCCGGTTTTGGAGCGACTCACACGACGGGCCGCCGTGGAGGGCGAATAGTTGGCGCCGTGGCGCGGCGGGACCCACGCCCTGCGCCCCGCGGCCCCGCACTTGCACGCTCATCCGCGGTCTCTGGGCCGACGACGATGGAAGTGCAATGTTCCATCGCCGTGCACTGGGCAAGTCTCGCCGTTCCAATCCTTCAGGACCTTGGTCTGGATGAGATGGTCAATTCGCGTCTATTTATTCATCTGGAGCAGTGCATGTGGTGTCGCGCGCCGGCTCCGGCGGTCGATCTGGCGCTGGCCAGGCCACGTCTAACGTACTTCGCGTTCTTGGGGAGGCGACTTCACATTTCTGCCAGTCGATTTCATGACGGCAGGCCCTTGCAGTACAGCGGCCGCTGCTACGCGGGCCTTCCCAGCTTTCGGGCTGGGGAATATGCGCCGCGGGCTGCGGCACTGCCTGGCGGTTTTCGGAATGGCCAATGCGATGAATTTGCACAGTGGCAGCGGGTTTGATCCCAGACGCTTCGCGTATTCCCGCCAGCCCATCCAGAAACGATGCCCAGGCGGGTGGAGGTGATGAGGGAAGTGCCGGAGCAAAGAGAAGGACGGCCAAGCCGTGCGCAGAAGGGAGGAGAAGGAGTAGGTTGGATGGATGGAGAAGGAGTGGGGAGAAGGATGATAAACAGGATGATGAACAGGATGATGAGGAGGAGGAAGAGAAGAGAAGAGAAGAGAAGAGAAGAGAAGAGCAGAGCAGAGCAGACCAGAGCAGAGAAGAGAAGAGAAGAGAAGAGAATAGAAGAGAAGAGAAGAGAAGATAAGAGAAGAGAAGAGAAGAGAAGGAGGAGGAGGAAGGAGGAGCAGGGAGGAGGAGGAGGAGGAGGAGGAGGAGGAGGAGGAGGAGGAGGAGGGCACGCAAAAAGGCCAGAGGTCTCTTGGATGCCTCTCGGAGCCTCTTAGGGTATCTGTTGGGCGTTTCTTGGTGGCCTCTTGGGACGTTTTGAGGGTCTCTTGGGGGTCCTGGGGGGCTCTTGGGCGTCTTGGGTGCCTCGGGGGGGCCTCTTGGGACCTCCTGGGGTTCTCTTGGGGGCCTTTTGGGGGCCTTTTGGGGGCCTCTTGGAGCAATTTTGGGGTCATCTTGGGGCCCTTTGGGACCTCCTGGGCGCGTCTTGGGGCCATATAGGAGGAGATCGATCAAAGAAGGGGGAGGCGGCAACTTGCATTGCCCCCCCAAGGGGCCAAAGTGGGGCCAAAAGCATGGATGATTGTGACTTTCTCGCCGAGGCCCTGTTGGACGTTCCACTGGGTCGCGGCACCGCCCGTCCAGGTCCAGGGGGGGGGGCAGGGGGGAGGGGTAAGCCCCCCTTCTTCCCCTTCCGGAAGAGGAAACTCCGTAACCACCTACGCCCAGAGGGCTGGTGGGATTGGAGATACCAAGAAACAGCGACGCACCTGCTGCCCTGTAGCGCCCGCGGAATGCGCAAGCGCCTGCGGCACTGCTAGCCGACTCGGGCCAGAAACGGCTGCGGCGATGACGCCGCTGCGGCAGGACGGAGCAAGCGATGCGGATGATGAGCTTCGGAGGCAATCGGGCGCGCGGGTCGGCCGTCTCATCTGGCGGCGCCAAATCACAGCGGTGGTATGAGATAGTGGAATGGCTCGGATGTGTGATAACGCGGCGTTCCGTGCTCGATACTACGACCTCGGGCCCATCGCACTTCCGCATGTGAAATGCCGTCGGAAGTGGCTGCACGGACGACGAGGAGGATGCGAGACTCCACCGACCTCAGCGTGGCTTTAAGTAAATATTGAAGGACACGCACTCGGGGGAGACGCGGCACAGACAGGACACAAGAGCGCCCTTGATATTTGGCAGGGTCGCCCTTCCAGCAGTCCTGATTGCACGCGATGGCGTGGTGGTTGTGAGATGGCTGGTTTCGATGGCAGCGTGCTGCGCCTGCGTTCCATGAGCTGCCCGTGATCATACTCAAGTTGCACGCGCGGGGCGGAGAAGCGCGTTGTGGGGGGTGTCATGACAAAATCGTGGTGCGGACGCACCACTCAAGTCTACCCAAAGGCGCCCACCGACGAACGCATTCCCCGCCCAGCCCCAGCGCCGAGGCGCATGGGCCTGGCGCGGGCGACTCCGCGCGTCGTGCAACCACTCCCAGACCAGATCCTTCCTCTGAAAGAGCTCCGCCCCTCACTGGCGCAGCACTGCGGCCCGCTTCCCGATGCACCGCATCGCCGCCATGAGCGCGACCAATCCAAAGTCGAGGCGCGTCACATCGTGCTCGCGGGGCGGGGTCGGGTTGAACCCGTGGCCATGCCAGCTTCAAGGAAGGAATCCAAGGTCTCGCGGCCCTTCGGTGGGACCTCTCAGGCGGGAGCCGCTTCGTGTTGGGTTTTTTATTTGGGTGGACGTCTCAGGCGGGAGCATCCTCCTGCCGTTTTTGTTGGGGGGGGGGGCGTTTCAGGCGGGATCCTCCTCTTGGCTGCTTGTCCCAACCATCCTGGTGTGCTGGGCCCTCGTACAGCGCCCCTCGCCCTTCCTCCCGCTGCACCCATCTTTTCTCACATTCCGCGTCTTCATCGGCATCGTCATTATCATCGCCGTCACCATCGTCATCATCGTCGCCATCTCCATCGTCCACATCATCATCGTCGCCATATTCAGCATTGTGCCACTGCTCCCCGCATGAGCACCATTTCGGCACACCCCTCACACGCTTCGTGGCCCCATGGGGGGCTTCAATGAAGGCCCCAGTGGCAGGGTCCGCATGCGCCCCCCCTGCCCATTTCGGCACACCCCTCACACGCTTCTTGGCCCCGTAGGGGGATCCACCGAAGGCCCCAGTGACAGGGTCCGCATGCGCCCCCCGACCTGGTCAGCATACTTTCACACGCTTCGTGGCCCGATGGGGCGCTCCGCCGAAGGCCCCAGTGGCAGAGTCCGCATGCGTTCCCCGCCCATTTCGGCACACCCCTCACACGGTTCGCGGCCCCATGGGGAGCATCACCGAAGGCCCCAGTGGCGGTCGCATGCGTCCCCCGACCAGTTCAGCATATCTTCACACGCTTCGTGGACCGTCGTGGCCCCCGCCCGTAGTGCGCTCCGCCGAAGGCCCCAGTGGCAGGGCCCGCATGCGTTCCCCGCCCATTTCGGCCCACCCCTCACACTGTTCGCGGCCCGATGGGGAGCTCCACTGAAGGCCCCAGTGGCAGGGTCCGTATGCGTCGCCCCGCCTTTTTAGGCACACACCCCTCACACGCGCCGTGGCTCCCGTAGGGCGCTCCACCGAAGGGCCCAGTGGCAGGGCCCGCATGCGTCCCCCCATCCTGTAGGCACACCCCTGACGCTTCGTGGCCCCACAGGGAGCTCCACCCAAGGTCCCAGTGACGTAGCCCGCATGTGGGCATCCCCCCTTGTTCGCCACACCACTCACACGCTTCGAGGACCCACAGGAAGCTCCAGCGAAGCCCCCACTGGCGCAGCCCGCATGTGCACCCCCTTACACGGTTCGTGGCCCCACAGGGGTTTCCGCGCAAGGTCCCCCCGGCGCAGCCCGCATGTGGGCGTCACTTCCGTGTCGGCACACTCCTCGTGCGTTTCGTGGCCCCATGAGGGGGCTCTACTTCAGGCCCCGGTGGCAGCGCCCGCATGGCGGCCCCGCCCCATTTCGGCACACCCTTCACACGCGTCGTGGCCACATGAGATCGACCGAAGGCGATACCCACAACGACAGTACTCACAACTGTATATGGTGGGATCCCTTGCCAGAATAATTTGTTTTCGGGGCCTCTCAGGCGGGAGCCTCCTCTCCAGAGAGTCCTTCTCCTCCTCCCTTTCCTCTCCTCCTCGTCATCATCCTCTTTCTCGTTCTCCTATTGTGGAAGCCTCCTCATCTCTTTTCTCTTCTCCCCCTTCCTCCTCCTCATCCGCCTCCTCCTCCGCCCCCTCCTCATGCACTTCCTTTCTGAGCCTACATATACGCACGCATTGGCGACCAAAGAAGAAACGAACAAGGAAGTCGATGAAGAGCTATATTGATGTGATTCCAAAAGTAAATGAACCCCTCGGGCTTGCATTTGTGAAGATGGGGTCCCCGAAGGGGGGGTCCCCATAGGTTCAAAGGATACATGAACAAAGAAATCCAAGCATACATACTGGCACACACACACAGACACCAAGAAAAGGAGTTGAGTGGGAGGTGGAGAAAGAAGGCGGAAGCGGGTTGAGGAGGAGGGAGGAGGGAGGAGGGACACGAGGGTGAGGAGAAGACTGAGGTGGAGTTGGAGGAGGAGAATGAGGAGGAGGAGGAGGAGGAGGAAGAAGAAGAAGAAGAAAATGATGGAGGATGGAGAGGGTCGAGCCTCCTCCGCTCCCAATCCTGCCAGCTGCGGGTCCTCCGCATTCCCGCCGCGCCCGCCCAGGAGCCCCAGGCGAGGAGGTCCTTCGAGAGGTCGAAGTCCCCTTACACGCCCGAGGAGTCGTTGGCCATCGCGCGTTTTCTCCTCCTCCTCCTCCTCCTGTTCCTGCTCCTGTTCCTGCTCCCCCTCCTCCTCCTCCATCCTCCTCCTCCTTCTCCTCCATCCTCCCTCCTCCTCCTCCGCCTCCTCCTCACCGTAGCCATTTTGGCTCAAGATGCTTTGTTCCACAGGGGAACACACGGATACCGCTAGCCCGTGTCCAGTTCCAATTGTTTCAGGGGCCATCGATTTTGCCGCGCACTGCGGCACACGGCATACTTTTTCGCGAGCCCCGTCGGCGGCAAGCAGCCCGCAACCGCCCGACAGTCACACCCATGGTGCCGCAGCCGCCGCAGCCCAGCGTGTTGCGCGGCCCGCGCCGCTCTTTCTGGGAGTGCGGGCGCTGCGGGGCGAGCGCCAACTGGGCGTGCAGGGTCAAGCGCACATGTGGCAACGACACCCCCGCCCGTATCAGAACGACGGCGTGGAAGAACCAGAAGTTGTGGGATGATGAGTCACCAGCACCAGCTAGGGGTGGAGGCGCAGCAGGACGATCTAAGCAAGACATCCAGTTCTCCAAGCGGCTGGGCGAGATCGAGAAATTACTGCGCGGATGCCACAGTTGCGACAAAGAGAAAGACGCAGAGAAGACACCATGGCACAACAGTCCCAAAGTAAATCCTGCGGCCGCGTCGGAGCCCAACCCAAATGATACAGACGTAAATAAACGAGCCAAGCTTGCAGCTCAGCTCACCTGCTTCGAGGCGTCGATCAAGAAATTGCCGTAGGGCGAGGTGGGGGGAGAGCTACGGAGGACAATTCAGACAACGACTGGGCATATCAAGAAGGAGCAGAAGCAGCTACGGCCCCCCGCCGCGGCGCACAGGCGCGCGACGCAGGACCTGTACAAGGCTCAGGCGACGTGCGAGGCTCACCAGGGAGTTTGGTGAGTAGGAGGAGCAGCTCAATTTGTTTTGGGGACTCAGTATCGTTGAGAAGCGCGTCGAACTGGATACCAAGAAGGTCGAGGCCACTACACTGCAGGAGGAGGTCCGCAACCATGCCGCGGACGTTGGTGGCGCCAAAAGTCCTGAGCAGAAGAACCGAGCGGACTTCTCCAACATCAAAGCAGAGGAAATGGAATATCCAGGGCTCAAGGAGTTCATCGGCGCGGATGTCTGGGCCAAGCTGCGCGAGCACCTCTCGGCGCGGCTTCCTGCCCAGGACGCTCCCATGGGCAACGCTGCTGATCAACCAGACGAGCACCCTCCTGACAACGGCGTCGAGCATGCAGGCGTCAAGGGGAAGTTCGAGGATACCGCGCAGCAGGCCTTATACGAGATAGGCAAGGAAGGTGCATTTGAGGAGGTCCAGGCTACGTTGCGAAAGTTTGAAAGAGACAGCGACGTGGGTGGCATCTTCCTGTCTGGCCTCAGGCTGCAAGGAGGTGAAATACAAATGCCGCCCACGCTGCCCACGCATGGCACCTACGCGATCACGGCCGCCAGCGCGAGTGGCGGCAGAAGGACGTTGAAGCAAATGGCGCAGATAACGTCTGCACACATAGTTATGATTCAGGAGACTGGGTGCACGGAGCCGTTGTTGTGCGTGTGTTTGCAGACAATTGCGGTTGGAAGGCTGCAGCCATCCCAGCGCGCCAGACAGCAGGCGCAGCTCCCTCCGGAGGAGTTGCAGCTCTGGCTCGGGCAGATGTAAGGCTTCGCCCCCCACAGACTGGACAGCTGATATTTGATCACCGACTGCAGCGCGTAATTCTAGATCTCCCAGGCTGGCCGAGCTTGTCTCTTTTTAATGTGCACTTATGTGGTTCGATTGGATCGTCAGGAGAGAACGCAAAGATCCTTGCCGCTGCTAGTCGAATCACGGCGGGAACGGCGACGCCATGCATCATGCATGGGCGGCGATTGGAACATGTCAGGGCAAGATCTAGAAGCGTCAGAGTTCCCGAGGTTGTCGTCAGTGGCGCTCGCTATTCCAGTTGAAGTCACGTTCCGCGGCGGCACGGAATGATTGACGATGGATTATTTTTGCGAGAACGATGCAGCGAGGCGCGCGCGTAGCGCACATGGCGCAAGAAAGCCCACCGGCCAGTCCATGGAAAGTCAGTTGGCAACGGCTTCGCGATCCAGAATGTTGCGCACGCCCGTGCAAAGCGGCCCCCGGTCGGTGCAACCAGCAGGACCGCCCGCCAAGCCGATCGACTGGTCGGTCCGCGCAGCTGCGGCATGTCAAGCTGTTCTGATGGCACAAGACCCAGACTGTGATGCAGCCGCAGCGAGGGCCTCCCTCACCCGAGTACACGGCCAGTTTGCAGCCGCGCCTGCAGAGGCCATCGCGCGCAACTCGTGCACGGAGCCCAAGAGCAGCGGCACGAACGGCAGGAACATCGAGCCTAGATAGGTCAACGCTGAGCACCCCATGAACGAGGAGAGCGACGTTCAAGGCATCGGTCAATGTTGGCAGTGGCTCAGAGAAGGGATCATAACGATCCAGCAGTTGCTTGCCAAGCCTGATGAGATGGTGGAATGATCTGAAGAGAAGGGGGATTTTCTGTTTGCGCAGCGCCCTGGATCAGGCCTAAGTGGCAGGTTGGACAGCGCGGTCATTCAGGTCCGCCAGGGGATCAACAGGCCCCTGTGGGCCACGAGCGCCTTCAGATGTTCCTGGGCGAGATCGACGAGGACGTAGAGCTGGCCAAGACAAGCCAGGAGGAGGCGCCAAACGAGGCCTGGACATAATGATGTCGCACTGCAGCGAGCGGAGGGGCTCGACCTCTTCACCGCGCCACCAAAGTTCGCGCAGGTCCAGCTCCTGCAGTCGCCATCGGCAGCCTGCCGGGCGACCCGGCGGCGATTGCCGAGCAGGGGGTGGCCCTGTGCAGGGAGCATTGGGGTGCGAGCGGTGCGGCATCACCGGCGTGGATCCCAGACAGAAGCAGCTGCCCGCGTCTCGACTCCGAGGACATGCGCCGAGTGTCCAAATCATTTCCAGCCGGCACATCAGCGAGCCAGGGCAATTTTCACCCTCGACATGCCGCGACAATAGACGAAGACGGATTGGAAGTATCGTTGCCAATATGGGAGGATTTTGAGGCCATAGGAGTTCCCCCAAAGCAGTTGCGTTGGATTCAGATGTCTCTCTCGGGCTAGCCGAGCGGAGACAACACATGGATCAAATGTTGGCATGCGCAGGATATGGCAGATAGCTCGGAGGCCGATGGTTCAGCGCATGCATCAATGTTCCGATTGAGGATATTGGGGGGGGCATCCATAGGCCGACCGGCGATCGACAGTGCCCGGGCTCAAGCAGTCCGATCCGAGTCCGACCAAGCGACGCACAGATACGGCATGGCGCCCATCGCGGACTGCTCCAAGCGATACGAGACGATCCCGTGATCTATCCTACAGAGCACAGTCCTGCGTCTCGGTGCTCCAGGATGTTCACCGCCAAGCTTGGACTCCCAGCAGGAGACGCATGTGCCGAATAAGCTGCGAAAGTAAACTCAGTGGACGCTGTCGACGCGATGGTTCAGAAGTCACCGGCGATAGATTTCCAGAAATACATAGACGACTCGGGCCTCCACACCTCGTCCCTCCATTTCGACATTGCGAGAGGCGCGGCAGTAGAGGGCGCCCGGCACTTCTTCGAGGCCAGCAAGTCGATCAACGCGACGCTGAACGCAGACAAGCCTGCCATAATATCGACCCACGAGGTTCTGGCGACGACATTCTGTGATCAGTTCGAGTTCCCAAGATCGGTTATCAAGACGAGCGTCTCTTACTTGGGAGTGGGCGAGTCTGGAGCTGCGCGCCGTCGACCTCGAGTCCGCCTGAAGCAGCAGTCACGTTGTGCAGCGACGAGGAAAGGAGTCCGCACGGTGCGAGCGTTGAGGAATGGTCTCATAGGCCCCAAGGAGGTCCCCTTTCGGAGAACTCACCGTCAAGGAGTTGCCCCTGCCAGCAGCTTCGGGGTCGAGGTCCAGGCCAGGGGCTCTCCGAATATGAGCGGGTTCCGCGCCGGAGGCCCACGAGCAGTTCGGCCCCCCCCCCCCCTCACGGAGGGGCATCGCTCACAGCCGAATTAGTTTTAAACGATAGTAGCACGAGATTTGCTGCGGCGCCGCAATCCAGGGGCGCGGGGTGGTCCGGGCAGCTGCGACTCGCCCAGGGCACGCCCTCATCAAGACGGGAGAACTCGCCCACCTTTGGGAGCTCTGCCAACCCGAGCTGTGCAATTCATGGCGAGAGTCTAGGGGCCCAGTGTCTCGTGCTTGTTTGTGCTTAGCCCGCGCGGGCTGGAAGCGTCGTGGAGCATTCAAATGGGTGGACCACAATGATGCCGAAGTCGATGTAACTCAGACCCCGCCACCCCTTTTAAAGGGCCAGCAAGATCTAGGTGTGCAAAGGCAGCGCGAATTTCATTCGGCCCAGAGGCATGGCTTCGTTCCTGGGACTCGCTCCACGCTGGGCCTGGTCCGCAAGGCTGTCGGTCTGAAAGCCAAGCGTTTCAGTAGACCCCGGCAGTATCTAATCGGGGGCTGTGGCTGCCAATGATTGGACCAACGATCGCGGTGAGAGGGCGGGGTGCTTGCGCAGCGGGCTCTGCGAGTGTGGAGAGAGGGGCGCCACCCGCCACAGGCTCGACTGCTGTCAGTTACCGAAGGTCTTGGAAGCTATAGAAGGCAGCGGAAGCATCGCCAGAGCGCACTTCTGCGGCCCAAGCGGAGCCCGAAAACTTGATGCTCACCACGGGCATTTTCACGCATCAAGATAGTGAGTTGCCGCGCCCGTCGGTTTCGTCTGAGGCTGAGGTGTTGGGTCAGCACGGCAACTCACTTGGGGTTGACCCTGAAATGGTAGCCTCGCTCGCGATTAATGCACCGCTTCGCTTTGCCCCGGATGGATGAAGAAGATTCCGATGCTGAGACCGTTGGAGAGAGCTTCCTGGCCCGTCGGGGTCTGCCCCGGCGTAGGGGAAGATCCAGTAGCTTTCCTGCGCGGGATAGTTCCTGGCACTCCGCCACAGACACCCGCCATGGCAGAACACGTGGGGATCGCGATATGCTGCCAAGTCGCGATCAGGCCAGCCGAGCTAGCTTCGGACTGCAAGGCCGCCATCGCCATGACCCAACAAGATATTTCGAGGCAGCTCGCGGCATCCAATACGTTTGCAGGCGTCAATCTTTTTGCGCAGGGATTGGAGGGAACGCCTCTCATACACGCAGTGCGCCATGTTAAAGCTCACAGGACCGAAGAAGGAATGGCGCAGCCCGAGGGGCTCGATCGTTTATTTGCCGTGGCTAGCGCGACCGTAGATAGGCAATCGAAAGCAGCGCTGCCCCACCCCCCCCCCCCAAACACACACACACACACACACACACACACACACATTCACACATTCACACACACACACACACAACCACCACCACCACCACCACCACCACCACCACCACCACCACCACCACCACCACCACCACCACCACCACCACCACCACCGCCCCGCGCCAGATCCAGATGCCCCCCCCCCAGCGCGAATCTCGCAGCCGCCCGTGCTCAGAGCTTCATGAAATTAGCTGCGCACGTCCTCCCGCTGTTCCCCAATGAGGCAAGGTGGGAGAGGCCGATGCGCATTCGATCCAGCCGCTCAAGGCGGCAGACCAGTTGGCATTTTTGGCAGCAAGGTGACCTCGGATCGCAGCGCTCACGTTGTCTGCTGGTGGCGGAAAGATCGCCGGACGGAGCCCCCTTGGATGGCTGTAAAGGCGTGCCCAGTCACATCAGCAGACTCTCGAACCCCCTCGGCCATTCTCTCATCGCCACGACTGGGCTGGCTCGAGAAGCTGGGGGCGATTATGCTGTCTGCGCCGTTCGAAAGCAAACCATGGCGCGCATGATGTGCGGAGGTTGGTCCCAAAGTAAGCATGAGAAACAAGGCCGCCCCTGTCTGCCGCCGATTCGCAAAGGCATGGGGGCCCTGGTTATGGCGAGTCAAGGTAGGCGCTCCAACCGTCGCGTGGCCCAGGCAGTGGACAAGGCGCCCCCCGTCTCGAGGCGGCGCCGCGTCCCGCCAGAGCCCGCAGATACCTCCAGCGCCACGAATGTTCGAACGAGCTTTTCGGCGTCAGAGGCGGCCCCCTCCTATGAGCAACGCGTGAAAGCTTTGGTTGAGAAAATTCGAGTGCGGGAGGGCATTCGAGATGCTCAATCCAGGGGGTGGTTTCCGGGTGTCACCTGGAGGAGTTTTTCCTGTCTCACCAGCCCTCCCTGATTCGCATCCCATTTTTTCTATGTCAGCTGAGATTCGCCAGTGCGGTGCACTCCCCACATGGGCATTCCATTCCGTTCCATCCCTCCTCTTCCTCCTGCTCCTGGTGTTGCTCCTGCTCCTGCTCCATCCTCCGTCCTCCTGCTCCTCCTCTTCCCCCTCCTCCTCCTCCTCTCCCTCCCTCCTCCTCCTCCTCCTTCCAGCCCTCCTCCTCCCGCTCCTGCCCCGGCCCTCCTCCACAATTACACAATATGAAAATACTCTCCCACTCCTCCTGATGGCGTCCCGAAGATATCCGACACCCCCCCGCGTACTGTTTTTTTACACACAGGATTCACGGGAAACGGGTTTTCGCTTGCGTTTTTTTTCAAAATGCTGCTCTCGCTGAGGCGCCTGCCTCATTTCTGCTCCCGAATCGTTCCGAATCGTGCTCCCGCTGCAGCGTGGGCTTCATTTTCGGATCGGTGTTTGGCCTCCGTCGTTCAGGATGGCGTTCTCGCCCCAGCGCGGGCCTCTTTCTCGCGCGCCCATCCGCCCGCCACCACCGCGCCGCACCACCACCACCAAAACCACCACAACCACCACCACCACCCCCACCACCACCACCACCAAACCACCACCAGCACCACCACCACCACCACTACCACCACCACCACCACCACCACCACCACCACCACCCACCACCACCACCACCACCACCACCACCACCACCACCACCACCACAACCACAACCACGCGCACACGCACGCACGCACGCACGCGCACCACCACCCACTACGCACGCGCGCGCGGAGCCACAGGTCCGCTACGACACGCGTCCGCGGATAGATAAAATGAACGCCATGGTAAGGGATGGGAGGAAGGGTATGACGTCAGCTATGACGCGAACGCACCTAGCTTGTCTTCCACCTCCTCCTCCTCATCCTCTTTTTTCTCCTGCTTTTCCTCCTGGCTCAAGCCGCCTTGATCTTGAGTGTGCTGAGAGACGCGAGTCGACTGGGCACGCCAGCGACGCTGCGATTGGGCTTTGCCAAAGAATGCCCAAGAGCAAGCCATCCACAGTCTGCAACGAGCGTAGTCAGCGGGCGCGCACTCGGCGGCTTGACAAGCAAGGCCGGGGATGCAAGTACGGGGCGCGATTGGAGCCGTTCCAGAGCAAGCCGCCCTGGCGCAGCGCCCACTACGGTCAGCCGAACGCGGGCAGCTCTGCGGGATCGCGGCGGGGCCCGAAGTCATGGGGGGAAAATGGCAAGGCGGTGGCGGTGGGCTACCTCGCGGGGGGCGACGAGCAAGCCGGCGCAGGATATCGAGGAGTTCCAGCACGCGCCGCCGCCGCCACGGTCGAAGGCGCCAGACGCATGGCAGGCGCTCGCGAAGGCCAAGGGCAAGCATCAGAAGGCGCAGACGTGGCTGCTGAAGTGCGCGGACGAGGTACAGCGGCGGTCTATCCTGCGCGACGCGGCGATCCCGCGCCGGGGCCAGGCTTTCGAGGAAACGCGCAATGCTGACCAGGCACGCGCCAAGGCCTCGGCGGCCTACTACACGCAGATGGGCAAGGGCGAGCTCGTCAAGGCTGAGGAGGAAGGGTCTGCGAAGGCGACGGCGCAGACTATCTTTTCTCGTTTGACGAAGAGCTCTTGGACGCCAGCCTGGACGACCACGAGGGCGGGCCCGACGCGGAAAAGGCGCTGGCCTTCCGCGCCAAGGTGAAGAGAATCCAACAGGCGGGGAAGCAGTCTTTGCAGACGGTCGAGGACGCGGGGGCGGAGCTCGCCCGCCAGCAGGCGGGGGTCCGCCAGCAGCGCGTGGAAGAGGCCAAGCGGCTGCGCGCCCAGGCGGAGTAGCACCAGCAGCACCTGGCGCGGCAGGTCGAGAAGCACCCCAGTCGTCGCACGCAACCACATAAGGAGCGCGGGAAGGGGGGCGGCCAGGCGGCCGCAGGCGAGGCCGCCAAAGCGGAGCCTGGGGCACAGCCGGCTGCAGAGCCAGCTGCGGCGGCCGCTGGGCCAGCGGCAGCCCCAGACCCAGAGGCAGCGACGCAGCGGAAGCAGGAGTTGCTGGACTACCACGCGGAGATCAAGTCGGAGCGCGTCGCCTCCGCGGCCAAGGGAGGCAGCAGAAAGGGCAGGCCAGGCGCCGCGGGCGCTGCTGCGGCCTCCGCCGGCGCTGCCGGCGCCGGGGGGGGGGGGGGGGCGAAGTCAAGGGTGGGGCCGCAGCTGGCCGCGATAGCACGTCGAACCTTTGACGAGCTACGTGCTGGCGCGAGGACGGCGTCGGGCGCGGGCGGCGATCGCCAGCTCGTCGGAAGCGGGGGCCACAGGCCCGCAAGTTCTTGTGCGATTGCCAGGGGAAGCATCAGAGGGCGAGCGTGATGGGGAACAGCGAGACCCACCTCTTACCTGAGAAGCAGCAGAAGATCGCGGTCGACCTCGGTCGCGACGGCTGCAAGCGCACGGCCACCGCAGCGCGCCCACCTTGTCTGAGAGAGACAGGTTGCCGCGGTGGCGAGATGCTCATTGCGAGGAGGCGCTTGGAGACCACCTCGTTTGACCACGTGCGAGCGGCAGCGCAGCCGAGGGGCAGGGGCGACCCCTCCCGCGGTTTCGCGGCGACCACCGTCCAAGCGAAGGCGGGGGCGCGGTCCATGCGACGGCGCACATGGCGCCCCAGCGGGGGGAGGGTTCGCCAAATCCCCAGGAGTTGGCGAGCCTGGCGGCCTCCCCGCGGGCCGAGGACGACCCGTGGATCGCGGCGGCAGACTGGAAGCTGGACCTCGAAGCGATGCTGAAGAGTGAATTCCCGCAGAAGACCGGCGGCGTTGCGAAGACGCCGAAAGGGGCGAAGGCCACAGGCTCTGAGGGCGAGCCAGGTTCGTTGCTGGACTCCTGCCTGGTGCGCAAGGATGTCGCGCGGGAGGCGCGCTGCGCGCTGCGCATCGCGCTCAAGGGCCCCTACCAGAAGCGGTGGGCGAGGGCGCGGGCTGCGCCCGGGGCGCCCCCGCGAACGCAGAGGCCAAAGAAGCGCGCTGACCCAAACAAGAAGACGAGCAGGGTGAAGCAGAAGCGCCTGCAAGAGAGGAGGCAGAGACTCCCCCCCGAGGAGCGGGAGGCGTTCGTGCAGCCGCGCGAGGAAGAACGGGTCTGCCAGGAGCCCGGGGGGCCCTTCCTGGCGCCACTCGAGTGCTGGAGGCGGGCGGATGAGCAGCCGGCGCAGACTGGCCTCCCAGATCGGCCGATCACGAGGCCCTTGCTTGGGACTGCTCCCGCTGCTGGCGGCGCGGTGATAACGCACAACTAGAGCCGGGAAACTATTCACATATGCGGGCGCTTATTTTCCGTTCCGCTCCGGACGGGCTACGCGGGCCCAGCGCAGCGGCCGGGCGACCGCGTCGTCTACCAGGGCCGTGAGCAGCAGGAGAAGGACTTCTCGCATAGGTACCGCAACTGGACGAGCAAGCCGGAGCCCGCGCTGCTGGCCACCCACGAGGTGGAGGTGTCGGAGAAGGCGCGCCACCTGGCGCGCAGACGGGGCTTCGACCTGCAGTAGGCGAAGGCAAGAGTCACGCCCAGAGGAGCGCACATGAAGTGCCGTGAGTCCGACACCATGTGCTATGCGCTCACGCTGATGCAGAAGTATCAGACGCTCGCGCGCGGCTGGCGCGACGAGGTTCAGCGAGGCCGCGTGATCTGCGAGCCCAAGAGGATCGCCATTGAGACGCTGGACCAGGGCGTGGCCGACTTCCCCGGCAGCGCTCGCTTGATGGTCTGGCAGAAGATGATGAAGGTGGAGGCCCTCTCGCCGGTGCATCGGCAGAGGTTGCTCGAGCCGACGGGCTTGCCGGCGGCGGCGGGGCAGGCGCGCGCGACAGGGGGGCGCGCAGGGGTCGACTCCAAATTGGTGAAGGACATGCGGGGCGACAAGATGGGGGCGCTGCGCAAGCACGCGAAAGGCGAGCCGGCCATCATCAATGATATCTGCGCCGCCACCTCCACCACGGCGGACCCTTCGACCATGCTGAACGACTGGGCGACCAAGCGGAGTGTGTCTCGGCAAGATCCAAAAGACCAGTTTGGAGGACATCCAGGCACAGCTGCAGAAGACCTCGGGGGGCGCGCAGGAGGAGGACTACCCGCCCATTGAGCAGGAGGAGTTCGACAGGGCGCTGAACGCCATCAACGGCGGCGCGGGCGCGTCGAGCTCGACGGAGGCGCAGTGCCTCCCACATGTGATCCGCGAGGGGTTGAGACAGCTGATGAACGACACGGAGCTGAATGCTGTCTGGCCTCGCCAATGCACGGCGGCGGTGGCGGCTTCTGTGCCAAAGCCTGCAGGAGGAGACAGGGTGCTGGGCATGATCGCCTTGTTGCCCAAGATCTGGAGTAAAGCGCGAGGTAGCATCGTGAACAACTCACTGGTCGGAGGAGCTCGGATCTTCTGGGGCGGCGACCTGCGGGGGTGCCCCGCGCTCAGGGCCGCGCTGCACCGCGCGCTGCTCGACGAGGTGGGCGGGGAGATGCAGCTGGCGTCGGCCGCCCTCCTCCTCGACCTCCTGACCTTCTGCGACGTGATCAGCCTGGCGCCACTCGTGGAGCTGGCGATGCAGGCGAAGTACCCAGCCGTCGCGGTGGCCATGGAGGTGGAGATATTCCTGGGCCCTCGCATCCTGCAGGACCAGCGCCACGGCATCAGCGACTGGGTCCGGCCGACGCGCTCAGCGGTGGCGGGGTCGGCGAGGGGGGCGCCCATGGCCGAGATGTTCATCCGCGCGGTGCTCGACAAGGCCCACCTGGTGGCCCCGCAGGTGCCCCGCTGGATTTTCGCGGGCGGCACGGCGGCGCGCTGTGAAGGCCCCAGGGAAATAGTCAGACAAGAGATGAAGCAGGTGGCAGACTTGTTCGCGGGGGGGATTTCGTTGAGGAGCGGGGCCAGATCATCTCCAACGAGACGAGGCTGCTGGCGTCGGACGCGCGGCTGGGACAGGAGCTGCAGGCGGAGCTGGTCTCGCTTGCCCGGCCGCTGCAGCCGGCGCTGGATGCACCTGGCGGGCGGCGACGCAGCGGCTGGCAGGCGCGAGATTGCAAGAAGCAGCGCAAGAGGACGCTGGCTGCAGGCATGCGCGCTGGTCGCATCGCGAGGACGAGGCGGGGCGCAGCTCTCGCCGAGGAGGCGAAGGGGCTTTGGGGCACGGGGCCAGGCCGTTCACGGCCACCAGATCCAGGGCCCGGCGCCGACGAGCGTCAGGAAGCTGCGGCAGCAGGCGGGCCCAGCTTTTGGAGGCCAGCCTGGAGGCCACTGCCCCGCCGCGGTTTCGGCGGCAGGGCTCGAGGAGGACCCGGGCGTCAAGCCGCGTCTGCAGCTGGCGGGCTCCTGGCTGGAACCGCGGGAGGCGGCGCCTGAGGCCCGCGCAAGGATCAAGAGAGACTGGCCTGCAATCCGCGGCGCGCTCCTGACAGCCAGCGCTGGTCGGCGCTGGCACCGCGCGCGGGGCCCTGTCGGAACGCCCCTGGCCACGCCCATGGACGCGGGCTGGGGCGCGCGCGCAGCCAGCGCGTGGAGCAGACCTGAGGTGGACGGCGCGACCACGAAGTGGCATTTGGCGGGGTCGAGCTTGGAGGCCCACGGGAGTTTCATCGATCGGCTGCCCATCCTGCACGACCTCCGCGAGGACATCAGGCGTCAGCTGTGGAAGCAGGCTAAGGCCCATGAGGACGGCATCACCCTGGAGAGCGGCGCGGACGCGCTGCGCGCGAGACGCGAGCTCGACCAAATTGCTCGCAGAGGCATGTGGGCGGAGTGGAGCCGCGCGATGGCGGTGATTTGCGGCCGGCAGTGGAGCCGTGCTAGGAAGCGAAGGTGCGGCCACGCCGTCAGCGCGGTCTGCCCGCGCTGCGGACTGGAGCCGGAGACGCTGACGCACGGAATGTGGCAGCGCACGGCGAACGTCAGCAAGGGCAGTGAGTTCGCCAAGTCGGAGCACCTGGTGGCGCGGCGGCTGCGGGAGGTGGTGGGTGGAAAGCTTGGGCGGGAGGGTGCTGTCCCTCACATAAGCTTGGAGAGCGGCCGAAGCATTGCATTTTATTCTGCCATGCGTGTGGCAACTCTGCGACAGAAGATTTCCGTCATCCTGAGGTCCGCCGTTCGGGAAAGTGTCGCAAAGGAGCGGATAACTTAGCTAGGTTCATTCATAATTTATGTCCGCAGCGTGAGGGCCCGCCGAAGCCGGTTTCGCAGCAATGCATGCGCGTGTCTGTGCTGAAGAGGTGGCCAGAGCATACAAGGCGGTGGACCCTGGGACCCATGGACCTGTTCCGTCTGCCATGGCCGCGCCGAGAGACCAGGGAGAAGTGCTCTCGGAGGCTCCTGGCGTCTCCTCTCAGCCCCTGGTGGAGCCCCTTTTACCCCGAGGAGAAGGCGGCAACGTGGCTCTTTGGAGGCGCGGGTCTGGGTCGCCCTGCGGGACCCCAGCCGGCTGACGGTCAGCTCCCCTTGGAGAGGTAAGCCGATTCTTCCACGACCTGCGCCTGATAATTGACGGCCCTCCCTACGCTCAGGGTTGCTGTGTTGGTTCCGACTTTCACGGTGATGTTGTGTGCGGATGCGGGCTGTGCTTCGAGGACGGCATCGGAGCGAATCTTTCCCAGCGAATCCTGCTCCTCCTCCTCCTGTCCCTCCTCCTGTCTCTGCTCCGCCACCCCCTCCCCGTTTTCCTCATCCTTCCTCATCCCTTTATGCCTCTTCCTTCCCTGCTGAAGTGTTCCCCCCTTGCTTTACTCCTCTACCTCCCTTCCCTCCTCATCGTCTGCCTCATCCTTCCTGCTTCCTCCTCCGCCTCCCCTTACTCCTATACCTCCTTCCCTCCGCCTCTTCATTTCCACTGCGTCCCCTCTTCGCTCTCTACTAGTCCTCCTGTCTCCCTCCACCCTCATCCCCCCGTCCTTCTCATTCGTCCTGAGTATGTCTTCATCTCGCCTCCCTTCTGTTGTTTTCTCTCTCTCTCTCTCTCTCCTTCTTTTTCTCTCACTTGTTTGTTTCTCTCTCGCTCTCTTTCTCTCTCTCTCTCTCTCTCTCTTTCTATTTGTCTCTTTTTCTCTATGTCGCTATATCTATTGCGAAGGCCTTACGGCCAGTGCCGCCGACCCTGAATGGCGACGACGACGACGACGACGACGACGACGACGACGACGACGACGACGACAAGCGCTCTTGGGGGCCTCTTGGGGGTAGTTTGTGGGCCTCTTGGGGAGCTCTTATGGGCCGCTTGGAAGCCTCGTGGGGGCCTTTTGGGGCTTCCTGGGGGTCTCTTGGAGGGGGCCTGGGACGTCTTGGAGGCTTCTTGGACGGTCTTGGGGCTATCTTGGGCGTTTTCGGCCGATCTTTGGGCGACTCGGGGCCCTCTTGGGCCGTCTCGGGGGCCATCTTGGGCATTCGGACCTCATTTGGAGTGTTTTCGAGGTTTCTAGGCCGCCCGAGGAAAAAACTAATCTGCCCCCCACCCCACCCCACCCCACACCCCCCTGGACCCCACCCGGGACCCCCCCCCCTTGGGGAAGAGATCAAAGGGAAGGGGCTTCCCTTCGACTCGATTACGACACTGCTAGATTTTTCTCTCGCTCACGAGCTTGAGAAGGAAGCTGCAGGGAAAGGGGACGACGGAGGCGACGACCGACGGAGACGACGACTCGAACAGCCAAGCCCCTCGCACACGCCGACAGGGTCGGCGGATATCTCTCTTTCTCTCTCTCTCTCTCTCTCTTTTTCTCTCTCTCTCTCTCTCTTTGTCTCGCCTTCTCCCTCCTCATCATGCGTCTTGTGTAGATTCCCTCCAGTGTTCCTGCCTTTTCGTTTCTCTATCCTTCGACGCTCCGTTCTCATGTGTCCTCCCGTTGCCGCATATATCCTCCTCCTGTTGCTCTGTCCCTCATTCCCCCTTCGTGTCCGCCCCTCTCTTCTCCTACTCCTCGTCTTCTCTTTCCCACCCAAGTCCTCGTCCTTTCTCCCTGTCCTCCTTTCTCACTGTCCTGCAACACCTTGTCCTCCATTGCCTTTCCTTTCATGTCCTTACCTTTCCTCCTCCTCAGTCCCCCATAACCTCCTTTGCTCTCGTATCTCCTGCTCCTCTCCCCTCCATATCGTCCTGCCCCTCTGGTTCCTCCCGTCCCTCGTTTCCCGCCTCCATCAATCACCTCCTCCCTCTCCCCGCCCTCCCCATCATCCTCCATCACCTTCCTTCTCATTCTCGTCGTCGCAGGCATCCCGCATGGCGAACAGGTGACGACTTCGTGGAGCATACCCGGATGCCGGAGTTTCCACCCGCCGTGCCGAGGTATATATCGAGCCGCGTCGATCCGTAAGCGTCCCAGGACCCGAGGCAGGGTGTAATGGTCGGTCGTGATTTGTTTCCGAACCATGTTGTGGTGTTGGGTCCTCGTTTTGAATCACGTATCGCCCCGCGTCTGCTGGCTCCCTCCCTCCCTCCCTCCTCCCTCCTCCCTCCTCTGCATCCCTGCCTCTGCCCTCCGCATGCCGATTTCGGCACACCCCTCACAGTTCGTGGCCCCACAGGGAGCTCTACCGAAGGGCCCAGTGGCTTTGTGCACATATGGGCGACGCGGCGTTACGCCCGTTTCGGCACCACCCTCGGCCGTGCCATGGCACCATAGGGGGCTCCACCGAAGGTCCACATGTGGGCGTCACGCCTCTCTCGGCACACCCCTCGCACGTCTCGTGGATCCATGGGGTGCTCCACCGAGGGCCCCAGCGGCACCGCCCACATGTGGGCGTCACGTTGATTCGGCACCCCTCACACGTTTCTTGGCCGCAAGATGGGACTCCACCGAGGGCCCCAGAGGCACCGTCCACATGTGGGCGTCACGTCTGCACACACCCTTCACACGCTTCGTGGCCCCATCGGGAGGTCCCCTCCGTCGTCCGACCTGCCTTGCGGTACTCGCACTCGCGTATGATTGGGTCTGCCAGGATAATGTAAGATTCGCGCGTGATACCGTATCCTATTCCCCCCTTCTCGTCCTCTACTTGAGCCTCCTGCACCTACTCATACCTTCCTGTAGCTCCCCCTTCCCTCGGTGTCCCTCCTGCTCCCCTTCGCCTCCCTGCTCTCCCCTTCTCCTCCTCCTCCTCCTCCTCCTCCTCCTCCTCCTCCTCTTCACATTCCTCCTCCTCACTCGTTCTTCTCTCTTCCCTCTTCTCTCTCCCCCTTCCCCCCTCTCCCTTCCCCCCCCCTTCTCCCCCGCCCAGTTTCGGTCAAGGGGCAACGGGCTGTCGTCCCAGGGCCCGCCGAGCTCGTTGGGAGGTCCGCCCGTGTCCCACCAGACGGCCGCTCGTTGCTCGCGGCGGCGAGTGCCGACGCCGCCCTCGCGGGGCGGCGACCCCGCTCGTCTGGGCCCCCAAGGCGATCGCGCTGCGCGCGTCGCGGCCTGGGCCAGAGCGGCTGCCCCCATGGGCCAGTCCAGTTCCGCTTCCCATGCGCCTCCAGGCGTCGGGCATCTGGCTGCGCAACTCCCCCCTCGCTGGCCCCGCGCGACCTGCAGCGCCTCGAGCTTCCACTGCCGCCCGCTCGTGAGCCTCGGCTTCCACCCCGAGGCTGCGGCGGGCCTTCGCCTGGTCCGCTCGCAGACCGCGCGGAGCGTCGATCTGCACAAGTGCACCTCTTGTGCTTGCGTGCGCCTTGTTGAGTCCATCGTGGCCCACAGGTGCCCGGTGATGCTGTGCCTCCATGTGGGCTTGCTCCTTCCCTGAGCCCGTCGTGCAGACCGTTTGTTGCGATCTTCCCCCGCCTGCGGCGAATCACCGCCGCCCCTTGTCTTTTAGTAGCGCCGATGTGGCTGAACGTTAGACGATGTGCGTTGGAACCCTTCGGGGAAACCTCGGGGGAGGATGCGGGAGAGCATCAGGAGAGGGAGGAGGAGGAGGAGGAGCAGGATGAGGAAGAGGACCAGTACAAGCCCAAGACATCAGCGATGCTAGAATGGCTCCCTCGAAGTTCCCTCTTCACTGGTCCCTACAATCATACGTAGCACCCCGCAATTGCGGATAAGAGTGAGGGGGCGGGCGCGGGCGACGCGGGCGTCGTCGAGCCGGCGGACCTCGTGGCCCCCACCTTTTGGGCGTTGCGTAATGGGGGGGTCATAAATGGGGGGGTGGCGAGGGTGGTCCGAAAAGGTACCCAAACGGTACCTAAACGAGCCCCCTGGGGCTCTGGAGGGGCCCGAAAGGGGCACGAAAGGGGACCTTTTCTGACCCCCCCATTTGTGACCCCCCCATTAAGCAACGCCCAAACCTTCCCTGTCGATGGCGATCTTCTCCTCCTCCTCCTCCTCCTCCTCCTCCTCCTCGTCCTCGTCCTCATCGTCATCGTCATCCTCCTCCTCGTCCTCCTCCTCTTCTTCCTTGTCCTCCCTCTCCCCCCCTCGTCCTTTCATCATCGTCCTCCCATTGTCGTCCTCACCCTCATCGGCCTCAATCATCGTCCTCCCATTGTCGTCCATCATCATCATCCTCCCCCTCCTCCCCCTCCTCGTCCTCCTCCTCCCCCTCCTCCCCCTCCTCCCCCTCCTCGTCCTCCTGCTCCTCCTCCTTTTCCCTCTCCACGTTATCCTTACATCCTTTCTTCTTCCGCGTTCTCCTCGTCCCCTGTTTACTCCTCCTGCCTCCCCCTCCTTTTCCCAAGATAACTGCAACGCAGTCCTTTTTTCCACTTTATGCTCCCCGCCTTCTCTGATCAAGGCAACTCGCCAGGGCAAAGTTGCTGGACGGGCTGGTGTGGATGCGCGGGGCCTGAAGAGGTCCTTGCGGGCTCAGACGGCATGCGAAAATCTGCCGCCGCGCTTGTGCGGCATTTGTTTGTTCAGTGAACGTGGTTTAGGTCGCGGGTGGGTCGCGGGCTCTCCACCTCCACCTGGAAGGAATGCAAAAGCAGCCCGCCGCATGCGCCAACAAACATTGGTTTGTACACTGAACGTGGTTTGGGTCGCGGGTGGGCCGCGGGTTCTCCACCGGGAACGAATGCAAAAGATGCCCGCCGCAGGCGCCGAAAAATGTAGTTTGTACCCAGAACGTGGTCGCCGATGGGCCGCGGGCTCTCCACCTGAAACAAATGCAAAAGATGCCCGCCTCAGGCGCCGAAGTGGTTTGTACCCTGAACGCGGTTTGGATCGCGGGTTGGTCGCGAGTTGGTCGCGGGCTCTCCACCTGGGAGGAATGCAAAAAAAACCCGCCGCAGCCGCCGAAAATGGTGGTTTGTACCTTCAACGTGGTTTGGGTCGAAGGTGGGTCGCGGGTGGGTCGCGGGGTCGCGGGTGGGTCGCGGGTGGGTCGCGGGTGGGTCGCGGGGTGGGTCGCGGGGTGGGTCGCGGGGTGGGTCGCGGGTGGGTCGCGGGGTGGGTCGCGGGGTGGGTCTCGGGATGGGTCGCGGGTGGGTCGCGGGTGGGTCGCGGGTGGGTCGCGGGGTGGGTCGCGGGTTGGGTCGCGGGTGGGTCGCGGGGCGGGTTGCGGGTGGGACGACGACAACAAACAACAACAACAACAACAACAACAACAACAACAATCATTTTACCCGAACGCGTGGTGTTCTCCCCAGTGCCAGGGTTTTCATACGACACCAGGCAATACCCCCACTTCGTGGGGGGGCATTACAAGCTCTACCAAATATCCAAACGACTCTTCGCGACCACCCAAACCCAGCTTCCCGCCCTATGACGTTGGGACACTTCACTTCGTGGCGTGCGGACGACCGTGGCTACTACACTGGCGTGGGGTACACACCCACAGAACCCAATGGTTTTTGGAGATTTCGGCGTGCGCGCGCGAAGAAAAAACGAATGTGTCCCGCATGGTATTATTTGACAGGGATGATGGCCCTGGCAGGTGCGCAACCGTTGTCGCAGAAGTTCGAAAAAGTTGCTCGCAAAAGCCCGTTTGACAGAAATGTTTAAAAAGTGTTGGGTTTCCTACGAATCCGCAAGAGCGCGCGGGATGAGATTTTGACATTTTTTTGTTGAAAAACCATTGGTTTTTTGATGTTTTTATGTTAAAATCGCTCCGAACACTAAGCTTTTGGAAGGATTTCGTCTTGCGCGCGCGAATGTCCACTTTACCTTATTTTTTGCAAGGGATTCTTGAAATTTGATTATATTTGAACAAGAAATTTCATTTTATAGTGTTTTTTGCAAGGGAAAGCGGGGGGGAACAAAACAACCGGATCTGGATCACATCGAATTACCTGAGGCTTCCTCACGAAAATGATGAAAACGTGGCTGCGGCCTAGGCGCGGCGGGGGGGGCGTGCACCAGGGGGCCCAACAATAATTATTCTTTAGAATTAATAATGTTCAACAACAACAACAACAACAACAATTACTAGCACGTGGGGACACTCCGTTCTCACCAGTGCCAGGGTTTTCATAGGAGGCGGGCAATACCCCCACTTTGTGGGGGGGCCGGTTCAAGCTCTACCAAATTTCCAAACGACTCTTCGCCACCACCCACACCCAGCTTCCCGCCCTATGACGTTCGGACACTTCACTTCGTGGCATGCGGACGACCGTGGCTACTATTCAGGGCCCCGCGGCCGACGACGACGGCGTGCGCGCGCGAAGAAAAAACGAATGTGTCCCGCATGGTATTATTTGACAGGGATGATGGCCCTGGCAGGTGCGCAACCGTTGTTGCAGAAGTTCGAAAAAGTTGCTCGCAAAAGCCCGTTTGACAGAAATGATTAAAAAGTGTTGGGTTTCCTACAAATCCGCAAGAGCGCGCGGGATGAAATTTGGACCTTTTTTTTTTTGTTTTTGAAAAACCATGGGTTTTTTGATGTTTTTATGTTAAAATCGCTACGAAAGCTAAGGTTTTGGAAGGATTTCGTCTTGCGCGCGCGAATGTCCACTGTACCTTATTTTGTGCAAGGGATTCTTGAAGTTTGGTTATGTTAGAACAAGACATGTCCAGTTTAGCCTATTTTTTGCAAGGGAAAACCGATCGTAACAACACAACCGGATCCGGACTCCCCCGTTTTGCCTGAGACTTCCTCACGAAAATGATGAAAATGAGGCTGCGGCCTAGGCGCGGCGGGGGGGTCGTGCACCAGGGGCCCCAACAATAATTATTCTTAAGAAGAAATAATGTTCAACAACAACAACAACAACAAACAAACAACAACAATCAACAACAACAATCAACAACAACAAACAACAACAACAACAACAACAACAACAACTACTACGAGAATCCGCACCGCGGAATTCCACTTCAGCCACGCACCCAGGGACAGTGAATGACCGTTCGGCCCCCTCACTCTGATGTTTTCATTGCGGGAAGTGCCCTTCTTACACAGCTCCTAAGCGGCCGCCGCGGGACCAACAATGTGCTGCTGAGCTGCTAGCTCATTCACCCCGCAGCTCGGGTCTCCAGCGGCCGTTCAGGGCGACCCGCATCCCCCCCCCCGAATCCTCGCGGCGAGGCGCAGCCGCTGGGAGGCGCCCCGAGGCCGCAGAGCCGTCGAAAGTCTGCCACGGACGCCGTCCACTGCGTTTTTTGTTTTGTTTCTGCTTCGCAAGGCCCACGAGGTCCGAGAACCAGCGCCACACCTCGGCTCGTCGCTCGCCGCTCCCCGCCGCCGCCCTGCCCCCCGGGCACGAGCGCGCCGAGGAGACGCTGGCCATCGCGCGCGGGCTCTTCGACTCCAAGACGCCCCGGGAGGAGACAGCGCCGGCGCCGAGCGAGGACCCCACGCGGGTGGGCCTGGGCCGCCGCTTGCCGTGCCGGGAGAGGAAGGAGGAAGAGGAGGAGGAGGAGGAGGAGGAGGAGGAAGCGGAGGAGGACGGGGAGGAAGAGGGAGGAGGGAGGAGGGGGAAAAGGAGGAGGAGGAGGAGGCGGAGGCCCTGACACCTTTGCGCCGTGAAGAGATCGCGACGGAAGACTCTTGGGCCCCGGGGCCGTCAACAGTGCCGGCTCGGGGCGGGGAGCTTGTCCCCGGGAAGGGGTCCTGACCTCTGGTGAGCCGCGTCGTGGACAAGCGCTGCGACGTCAGATGTCCGGGCAGGAGGGGGGGAAGGAGGGAGGGGGAGGGGGAGTCTTTTTGGTGGGGGCTCTTGGTAGATTCAGCTGTGGTGTGTCTTGCTTTGTTGTGCTGCCGTTTCCCCCCCCCCCACCCGGGGGTGGCCAGCTGCGTCCTGCGCCCTTCAATTCGCCTCCGTCGCCGCGACCCCACGACGCGATGTCTCGATGTCTTCAGTGCGGGGTCCCTGGAAGTCTCGGTCCACCCCCGAGGACCAGCGACCAGCTTTGCATCCGGAGCCATTTTTTTGCGGGTCGCGGGGACTGGCCGAGGGCCTCTGAGGCCGACAGCGGCGCAACAACGCCGTCCTGATTGCTTGAGCGCGCCGGATCTCTTGGCACCCCGCGCGCCCCTCGCCCCTCCCGCGGAGCCTCCGCGCCCGTGGCCCAGGCTGGGGGACGAAGGGTTAGGTCGGGCATGTCCTCCTACACGCAGATTACGAAGGCCAAGGCCTTACGGCCGGTGCCGCCGACCCTAAAGACGACGAAGATGAAAGGGAGGGGGGGATGCAGGGGGAGGGGAGGAGTGGCAGGAGGAGGAGGAAGAGTTGGAGCAGGCACCCATGCATGCTCCATGCTTTTGTCTCCTTCTCGGCTGTTTTCTCTCCTCTTGCTGCTGCTTATATCCTGCCTCCTCCGTGTCCTCCTCCGCTCTGCTCGGCCTGTCTCGTTTTCCTTCGCTCCGCTCTGCCTCCTCTTCTGCCCCCTTCGTGGGCTCGCATCCTGGGAGCTGCGACTCACTTTCCGGCTCCTCTGCCTTTCCTTCCCTTCGTGCTCCTGGCGGGCGGAAGGAGGGAGAGAGGGATGAGGATGAGGAGGAGAAGGAAGAGAAGGAGGGGATAGGAATATGAAGAGAAGGAGGACGAGGAATAGGAAGGAGAGGGAGGTCAGGAGGAGGAGGAGGAGGAGGAGGAGATGGAGGAGAATAAGGACGAGTTATAGGAAGAAGAGGGAGGTCAGGAGGAGGATCAGGAGGGGGATATTCAGGCAGAAGAGGAGGACGGAAAAACATGAGGAGGAAAAGGATGGAATGATATTGAGATGAGATGAGATGACACGGCTTCCAGGGACGTCCAGGGAGGAAGGGGCCAGCCCGATACAAAATTGGGGGAGAGCACCATCGAAGACGATGTTTGCGACAGGTGCACGCCGCCCCACTAGGGCCTCCGACGGGCCTCCTCACGAGCTCGTATTCGCTCGTGGAGACGGGCCAATCGAGCTTCATACGGGGCAACGCTGTCCACAGCACAACTGGCACTGCTGGCGACGATGGTCCTGGACACGACGTCCCGATCGGACATGACCGACACACCGACACGAGGGGCGGGGATGGCCCGCTCGATCAACGCACGGATTCGCGGGTTGGGGGCTAGCCCCCGCCGAAAATCATTCCTCCTGTGCGCGTCGGGGGGGCATTGGCTCTGGCCAGCCTGATGGCTTTCTCCTGACTCCACCCCCACACTTCACGCACAGCAGGGACCCACGCCTAGCCTCCTCACTCCCGGCACTGCACTGCACGACACGCAGGGGAGCGAGGCGAGAGCCCGACACGGCAACCAGCTGGTGCCCGAGAGGGTCTTCCGTGAGGGGTTTCAGGATTGAGGAGGAAAAGGAGAAAAAGGATGATGAGGAGGAGGGAGAGAAGGAGAGGAAGACGGAGGAGGAGGAGGAGGAGGAGGAGGAGGAGGATCAGAAGGAGCAGGGGGAGGAAGAGGAGGGACAGATGAGGAGGAGGAGGAGGAGGAGGAGGAGGAGGAGGGAGAGGAGGAGGAGGGGAGGAGCCTCTTGGACCCTTGGTGGGGGTGTTCTTGGAGAGCTCCTGGGACGTCTAGGAGGCTTCTTGGATCGTCTTGGGGCCATCTTAGCCGTGTTGGGCCGATCTTTGAGCGACACTGGGCTTTTGTGGGCAATATTTTGAGCCATCTTCGGCATTCTGGGTTCGGCTTCCCTTCGACTCCAATACGACGTTGTACAATTTCGATTTGGATGGCACGTTTGAGAAGGGCCCAGGGATAGGGTCGGGGGACGACGGATACGGCGAGGAGACGACTGTGACGACGACGCAGACGACGGGGAGACGACGGAGACGAGAACTCGAACGGAGAAGCCCCTCGCACACGCCGACAGGGTCGGCTGATTCTGGAGGAGAACTAAACAGAGCCAACACATATACAATACACTGGCAAAAACATCATCCAAACATGCGTCCCCATATTGTTTGTTTTATAATATATAGAAAACTTGTTTTGTATACTCAGAACTTCGTATTAATCAACCGGGGGGTGACAAACGTGAAAACGCGGCGCGGCCAACCTGTGTGAATTCAGTGTGTCCCTATGAGATTAAACCTCTTTGTTATTCTATTCTTTGCTTGTGCATGTGTCATGCTCTGTTGTATATTTGTGTCATCATATTTTGGCTTACAGGCACCTTTAGTAGCTGACGCGCCTTCGGCGAGATAAACGTGTCATCTTACCGCCGCTCACTCGCAGTCAGAGCCTATCAGGAGGAGGTTTCGTTTGACAGTGGTAGCGGAGCTCCTCGACCACGCCCGGTCCGGGGAGCTCTCACGCTGCTGCGCCTCCGCTCAATCCTCCGATGGCTGCTGCGAGCACCGAGCGGACAGAGGACACCGAGGAGGGTGCTCAGCTCAAGGAAGGCGGCGAGTCCAGTCCGCCACGGACACCGACCGCGAGTGATCGCGGATTCAGCAAGGTTGGAACGGATGGTAGCATGTCGGAGCTGGCCCGCATGATTCGAGAAGTCGTGCGGGAAGAGCTGCGAGGTGCTAGAGGTGCCGGTCCGCAGTCCGCAGCTCCCACCGGCCAAGGAGAAGGTTGGTGGTCAAGCGGACCATGGGAGCCGAGAGCAGAGAACGGTGACCATTGTGAAGCCTCTGGGGAGCGCTGGCGTGGGGACCAGGGCGAGGGGCAAGGACAATGGAGGAGCCGCTCAGGAGCTCAGGGCTACGACGAGAAGGACGACGTGTGGCACACGGACCCAGTGACAGATCCGTGGAAGAAGGCCGACACTTCGGAGGACCAGAAGTGGAATGCCTGGAACGAGAATAGTTCGGCGTCATGGTGGGCGCCGCAGACCAGATGGTCAGATTCGTGGTGGTCTTCTCCATCCGAGTGGCAGGGCAAGACCGACGGGAAGGAAAGAGGAGACTACACGGATCCTGAAGCGTGGATGGGCTGGCCAGATTTCAAGCTATGGCGTCGAAGAATCGTGAGATGGGAATCGAGCACGGACGTCGCAGTGGCTCGTCGCGCAGACAAAGTAATGAAAGCTCTTGGAGTGGAGCTTCAACGAAAGTTAGAACACTTGACAGATGATATATTGACCAGCAGTGGGGGCGTCCGAGCCATTTTGGACTACTTGGACGTGCTGTCAGGTGAGAGAAGAGGAGATGAAAGGAGGAAAACGGCCCGCGAGTGTCTACTTCAGTTTCAGAGAAGACCCAATGAGACACTCACGGAGTTCACAGCGCGTCTTGATCTTCAATTTGATAAGCTTCGAGTTCAAGGGATGGAAGTTCCAGATGACTGGAAACAGATGTTTGTCGAAGAAGGAGCTTCTCTTGACGATCATAGTGCCCAACTCGTGCGCGTGCTCACGGGAGACAAGAACGACTACTCGTCCACCATCAGGGCGCTTCGGGAATTGGACATTACCAAGAAAGAGACGCTGGCCACCAGCAAGATGAGGACCATGCTGACGGAGACTCTGGCCACCGGCGTCGGCGGCTCGGCGAGCTACCAGACGGCGCAGGACGACGAGGACGACGACTTGCTTGACTACGACGACGTCTCCAGCATGTGCACGAACGACGAGATCGTTCTCCTGGCCGCGCTGGAGAGCCGGGACCTCTGCGAGACAGAGGTGCCAGAGGTGCTAGTGGAGATGCAGACGCAGAGGAGAAAAACATGGAAGCAGAACCGCGACTTCAAGAGACAGTTACGCACGGGCCGCAAGTACTTCCCTCGGTCGCCTCCAGACGGCGTTCCACCGCCACCTCGTCCTGACCGATCCCGAGACCAGGGCCACCGAGGTCAGGACGGGCAGGTGAGGCCGAGGAAGAGCAGGATGCCTCTCTCAGAAGTCATGAAAAGAACGCGGTGCAGGATATGCAAACAAAAAGGGCACTGGGGCAATGAGCGTCCGCAGGCGGGTGGCTCCGGCGCGGCGCAGGCGTCCAACAAGGAGGCCGGGCTGCGCGGGGGTCGCAACACGGGCTTCATCTTTCTGAACGACTCCGGTGGCAGCAACTCCTTCACGCTGCTGGTGGAGCTCGAGGCGGCGAGACTCGTGGACGGCGCTCTGTCCATCGTGCTCGGCAGGAACAACGTCTCCTTGGAGGCTTCCAGGAAGGCGCGCTTGCCCGTGCCGCCCGGATGCATCGTGGTAGACACGGCTGCCGGACAAGGCCTGATAGGCCAGTCCGCCTTGGCACTGTTCGATGAGCATATGGCAAAGAAAGGGTATCGGTCTGTCCAGTTACCAGCCCGAAACAGCTCAGCCCGGGGAGTAGGCGGTTCAGCTCGTGTTGTGAGCAGCGTTTGACTACCTTCTGGAATAGGTAAGCACATGGGAATCATCGAATTAGATGTGATGGAGGGTGACATACCCCCACTGATGCCAATAGGTTTGATTGAGGCTCTAGGTGCAGTAGTAGATCTGGTTCAGAACAAGGTGTTTTTCTCATTCCTGGGGGATCAGGGCTGCGAGGCATCCATGCTGCGCCTCCCCTCAGGTCACAGATGCATTCGGATCGACGAGGTGGTTTCCCCCCTCGAGTTTAAATGCCCCGAGGGACTCATGAAGAAGTTCCCGAATTTAAAATCGGACTGTTTTTGCCTTCAGAAGCAGCCCCAGGGCCACTACATACCATCACCGTCCTCTCTCTCTCCTTCCTTTTCTGTCTCGGCTCTCCGGCTTACCCCTCCGTTATCCGCCCCCCGAGACGACGACGTTCACAGACGTGAGGAAGAGTCCGACAGACGAGACAAGGAGACGACCGTAGAGGAGGGACGACGAGGTCAAGAAGTAAAGAGGAACAACGACAGACACGACGACGACGAAGATGCCCAGGACCACGACCCGGGAAGGCAAGGTATCAGCGGCGTTCGACCGCAGCTTCTTCGGTTCTCAAGCGTTGATCAGTGGTTAGGCCATCGTCCAGCTTGTGACTCGGTGCGAGGAGATGCCGAACACGAGGTCCCCAGGCGAGCGCGCGGCTTCCCTGTGGTGGAAGATGGTGCGCACGCTGCTGGCAGTGGTGAACACCAGGGCCTGGGAGTTCATCGGCATGGTGAAGCGCGGTTCCCTGTGGCCGGCGAGAGTGCGCAAACGAGACCGTCGCCTGATGGCGAAGCAAGTCTCCTGCGGCCACTCGATTCACTTCCTGATGACGGATGCCAACGGACACGCTCGTTGGTGGAAATGTCAGGCCTGCGATCTTCGTCTGGGGTATCGGTCAAACCGAGACGTTCTGGAGATGATCTCGGACGGTCTTCCACAGAGTTACGAGGACATAATGGAGATCCAGCAGCGAGGCCCGGACAAAGACCCGAGGCCGTCCTTCCGAGTTCGTCGGGTGATTCCTCAGAGGACTCAGGAGGAGCAGGACGACAGCTCGATGTCAGTCGACGAGATAGGCCCCCCGGTCGAGGAGAAGGAGCTTCCATCGGGACCATCTCCCCCGAAGAGTCGGACCACTCCCGCGGGGCCGCGGAAGAGGGCCGACCAGGAGGAGGCACTCGAGATGGCGTCGCGGCTGCTGAAGACGGAGAACCAGCTCTCGGAGCAGAAGGAGATGATGCTGAACATCATGCGCGTGGTGGAGGACCAGAACGTCACGCTGCGCCGCGTGGAGGCAGCGACGTCATCGGGCTCGTCGGCTCCACCAACGCCTCAGACCCCGGCAGCGGCCTCCTCCGCCAGGGAGAAGGGATTCCAGAAGATTCCCGAGGAGGACGAGGGGAAGTTCTGAAAAGTTTTCTGAGCGCCCCGGAGCGCGAGAATCGTGTCGTGCTGTTCTCGTCTCTGCCAGAGACGGCACGATCTGCCATTGCATCGGAGACCTCGGGTACTATTGACATGAACTGGTCAGGTTTTATGATTTCTCAGCCAGGTGCGGATCAGGTCAAGAGAATTTCTTCAATGGAAGGTACCCGAGATCTCAAATCAATTGATGTCTGCGAAGTACCTCTGGTGCTGTTCGAGCAGACCTGCTGGCCGGACTTAAGGATGGGAGACATAACCAACGATGATTCAGAAGTCACCATTCCCCGTAATTTTTCGAAGAAAGTTTCCCATTCGGTGCCCAGTACTTTGTTAGACTCTGAGGGAATTAACCCTTTTCCCCCGAGTGCTAAGCCCCCAGGGGGCTTCGTGGAAGTGTTTCCCCCCCCACGGGTGTCCCCGCTGTTGAGGAAGTATCAAGTGAAGGTCCAGGGGAGTTGGGGTCTCACGACAGGCTGGGACTTCAGGCTCGAGAGACACCAGAGGAAGGCGAAGGCTCATGTGCGGAGAGAGACACCCTGGATGCTTATGCTTGAACCTCCGTGCAATGCGTTTTCTCAGATTCAATCGTTGAACAAGGGCAAGGAGCCCAGTGAGGAGGTTCTGCGGAAGCAGGCGGAAGGAATGCAGTTGTTGAGGTTTTCGGTGGAACTTGCGTGGATGCAGGTCAAGGCTGGCAGGAAGTTTTTGTTTGAACAACCCCACGCGGCGACATCCTGGAACACGGAGTGCCTGAGAGAGCTGATCTCTCACCCAGGCGTCTTCTACATAAGAGTCGATCTTTGCCAGTTCGATCTGTGCGTCTCACCAGATGGGGTGTCCAAGAAGCCTACGGGCTTCCTCACCAATTGCCCAGAGGTCGCTCGCACTCTCTCTGGCTTCATGTGCGAGGGAGGTCACGAACACATTCCGTTGGAAGGCAGTGCTCTCACTCGCGCGGCTCAGGTGTATCCCCAGAAGTTGTGTCAGCGTCTCGCCCTGGCTATCGGCAGGAGCGAGAAATCTAGAAATCACGAGGAACCAGTTACTTGTGCTGAGATAGGTCTGACTCCTAGAGTCCTGAGGCTCGGCCAGGAGAGCGGGGAGGGGGTGTGTCCGCGGCCGCCAGCCAGGCTTCCGATGAAGTACGGGGACGGCCGCCCCTGCTTGTGCTGCTCCCCGTGTCCAGTTTCCTCTCCCTCTGTCTCCTTTCCCCAGGTCCCAGGGCCCGAGGAGGAGGCAGGAGATCAGGAGGGGCAAGGTGAGGACGCGGAGGCTCAGGAAATCGCCTCGGCTATCGACATAACGCCGAAGATTCAGGACATGATTTAAAAGCTTCATGTGAACCTTGGACACCCGTGCCCGGAGAACTTCGTCAAAGTATTGAAAGTTGCTCAAGCTAAGCCTGAGATCCTGATCTATGTCAGACAGCATTTCAGATGTCCAGAATGTTCGGCGCACAAGAAGCCAGCTGCACATCGTAGGGTAGCACTGCCGAAGACGTATCAGTTCAACAGAGTGGTAGGAGTAGATTCGTTCTACATCCCGTTCCAAGACAAGACCCTCTGCTTCTTAAATATTGTCTGTCACGGCACGAACTTCCAAGTAGTGCAGCGATATAAGGGAGGATCTAAGGAGTGCTGGGAGGCTTTCCAATCCTCTTGGACTCGCTACTTCGGGCCGCCCGAGATGATCATATGCGACGGGGGGCCCGAGTTCGAACAGTATTTTGGACGAGGAGCAGAGCACGAGGGTATCCTTTTGCACGTCGTCAACGGGGAAAGCCCTTGGGAGAACGGGAAGGCTGAGAGACACGGAGGATGGGTGAAGGACCTGTTGCTGAAGGGGGTGGAGGATCAGGTGGTTTCGGATGAGCGTGACCTAGAGACACTACTTCACGGTATCGTAAGTTCAAAAAAACAGATACCTCCATCGCGGTGGTTTCAGTCCATATCAGTTAGTTCTGGGGCAAAACCCAAGAATCCCTAACGACGTGCTATCCGATGACGCTGTGAACGGGGTAGGCTCAGCCGACTTGATGGAAACGGCTTGGGATCGGGACACGGTCGCCGCGGGGTACGCCAGGGACAATTCCATCAGAGAGTATGCACGCCGTGAGCTCTTCAGGATCACCAGTCGCCAGAAGGTCCAGGAGGCCAACCGAGCGAGGCAGCACAAAGACCACGTCTTTCACTCTGGCCAATGGGTATATGTTTGGAGACGAGCACCTCGAACAGGGAAAAAGACGATGGCTTTGCAGCGGGATCGCTGGGTAGGTCCCGGTATTGTGATCATGCATTCTCAAAACACTGTATGGGTGGCAATGAGAACTCGTCTGTGGAAGTGTTCCCCTAGTCAAGTTCGTGCTGCAACGAATCCAGAAGCAAGAGGTGCTGAAATCTTGTTCGATCCTGCTGTGAAAGAGCTCATTCGAGAGGTGAGATCGGGACATCAACGAGCCGGAGTTGACGTGGAGTCCGAAGGCGATCCTCCTGCAGAGGTTTGGTCCGATCCAGTTCCAGCGTCCACCAGACTCGAGGGCATGCAGTCTCTTCCTCCTGCTCACTCCGACGCGCCCGCAGGAGACACAGGGACACGAAGTACCCCTTCAGGTGGAGCAAGTACTCCATCGGGTGCCGCAACCTCACGCAGGGCCGTTCCCCACCTTTCCTCTCCGCCTCCTGCGGAGGCCCCTCTGGATCGTTTCCTAGGGCCTCTGGATCAGGAGCGACCTGGAGCTGCCTCGGGGGTGCCGGTGCCTGGGACGCCTGTCGATTCCACGGCTTCACCTAGGAGCCAAGTTCGGGGCCCTGGGTCCGTGGAAAATTCTTCGTCCGACGATGTCCGAGGGACTAAACGGCAGCTCTCCGGGAGCGATTCTGGGTCGAGGTCGGAGTTGGGCCAGGAGCGACAAGTTGAGCCAAGAATTGAAGGCCCAGTCGGGCCGGAGGTTTCCTCTGGTTCGGGACCGTCCCTGGAGCCTCGCCCGTCTCCTCTTCCCACTCCCCTGCCAGGGGGAACCGAGGAAGAGTTTCAGCGGGCCGTGTCTAGTGCTGCAGCCGAGGCGGTTCGCAGGAACTGAATGTTAGATCTGGGCCCTCGGGCCCGACGGCTGCCCACCCGGGGAGAGGATTTCGGCGGGATCCCTTACGGTAGAGTTCAGCAGCAGATTCAGGAACGAGAGGCTCCCCGGTCCCGGAGTCCCGAGCAACGAGACGGCCCTGGGGCCGAGACCTGGGTTCTCTATGAGGACCTCGACGAGGAGATCCCGGATGCTCTATGTCTGTTTCAGGATCGCTGTGAGGACCCCGGCTCGTGGAACGAGCGAGCCGACTACGTCGAGAAGAGCCTTGATTCTCATCTGAAGGTCTGTGGGTGGAGTGGAGAGTGGCAGACATATCTGAACGGGAACGCGGACATGTTTGTGGAGGTTTTTCCTGGAGGTTCTGGATACGGCCTAAGCTTGGCCACTAACAAGGGACAAGAGGCACATCTTGGGAGAATGACCGAAGAAGAGCGAGAGGAGTTTAGGGCTTCCGACAGTCTTGAGTGGAAGGCACTGGTGCTGTCAAGGTTCATCCTCCTTCCATGGGCCATGAGCTAAGACGTCTGTTTCCCAACAGGGTGGTCTCTTCTAGAATGGTTCGCCGGTGGAAGCCCCAGCCTGGAGTCCACTCTAGGCCCAAGGCCAAGAGCCGTTGGTGCGTTCGGGGACATGAAGACGAAGACACTGCTGAGCTCAGCGTGTATGCGCCGACACCTCAGATGGAAGCTTTGATGTTATTCATTACTATAAGTTTGATGTACGGTTTAGAGCTCTACGTGGGCGACCTCAAGAACGCGTTCTGTCAGAGTAATAAATTGTCGCGTTCTCGTGGAAGAGTATTTGTAGAACCCTGTGAAGGCTTGGATCTGCCGACAGGTTCATTAATAGAATTACTAGCACCGGTCTACGGATTGGACGATGCTCCGTTAGCGCTACATACCACTACCTCAGAGTTCTTCCAGAAGGAGCTAGGATATGGCAAGAGTCGGCTAGAGCCCTGTTGGTTTTATGAGAGGACGAAGGACAACGAACTATTAAGCCAAGTACTTGTAGAAGTAGACGACTGGATCATGGCCTTGCATCCTTCTATAGCTAAGAAACGCATAGATCGTTTTCGTTCTCGTTTTAACTTCGGCAAGCTTGAGCGGATCGACGAAAATGGAGTTGAGTACATTGGACGACGCATTAGATTATTATCCGACCGCGCTCTAGTCGACCAGGAAAAGTACATTCTGGAATCGATCACTCGTCTGGACATCCCTCGTCATCGAAGAAGCGATCACAACCAGCCATTGCTCGGCGCGGAGTGCGTTAATTTCAGGTCCTTGATTTATAAATTAAATTGGATTGGCCGTGAGTCCAGAGCTGAAGTATCAGGCACGGCATCTACACTTGCGTCCCGGGTCAACAATCCCACAGTGGGCGACGCCCTCGAGGCCAACAAGGCAGTGGATATGTTGCGAAGTACTGCCTCGATTCCAATAACGGTGTGGAGATTCAAGAAGGGTCAGATGATCTTTGGCACGGCCTCAGATGCGGGTGGAATCGGTGCTGCCCGGCCAGGACATGCTCAACAAGCATGGCAAGTGTATGCCGCTGATCAGAGTCTCTCCACCGGCCGCCTCTCTCGTGTGACTCCTCTAGCTTGGCGGTCCTCCCGCCTCAGGAGACAGGTGCCGCCCACCCTCGGAGGAGAAGTCATATCCTTGAGTGCCGCTTTGGGGGAGGCGGAATGGCTTCAGATGCTTTTCTTGGAGGTGACTCAAGGGGGCCTGTTGACGAACACATGGAGGGATCATGTGGGTCCATTCACGACCGTCCTCCGGCAGGATAGCGAGTTGAACGTGTCCCCATTTGAAGAATGTGTCCATCGTTGACGCCAAAGGAATCTTTGATACTCTAGATAAGATAACCTCGGGATCGAAAGCAGATCGCAGAATAGCAGTGGACCTTGCAGTTATCAGAGAAGTGATGGAGAGGATAGGTAGCAGCATTCGCTGGGTCCCACATCCAGCCATGACCGTCGATATTATGACGAAGTCAGATGTGTCGAAGGGAAACGCTTCGCAGTTCAGAATGTTGAAGACCGGCCTATTGCGTCTTGTGGCCGAGGCAGATAGCTTGCAGGAGCGAAAGGATCTACCATCGTCTCGGAGCAGGAGCAAAGCGTATTCCAGCAAGTATCTGAGTCGAACTCAGAAGAATGTGGAGGAGGAGGAAGAGGAGCAGGAGGTCTAGGGCTAGAACGGTAAAGATCGACTCGACATACGGATTCACGTGCCGAAACGTCTCTTTCTTTCTCTCTCTTTTGCTGTCTCCGCCCGCGCCGCCCCCCGCCGTGGTTCCTGCCCCGGCTGCTCTCTCTGCTTTCTTTCTTTCTCTCTCTCTTTCTCTCTCTTTCTCTCTCTTGGTCGGTGTTGGAAGGGTTCCTGAGCTTTTGAAGCGGCTGAACTTTCGGGAGGTATAGTCCACCTCAGTACTATGCATGACTCGCATCTTATGCTAGGGCTCACGCCTCAAGCATTCAGTTTTTAGACCTTGCTATGGCATCAGTAATGTGTGCAGCTCTATGGCACGAGTTTTGTTTCCCATCCTTCCAGTGCAGTTCTGTTTAGCGCCGAGGCCCATTGATGGCAGTTTCTTCCGGTTTTAATCTCACTAAAATGGGGTCCACTGTGTGAATTCAGTGTGTCCCTATGAGATTAAACCTCTTTGTTATTCTATTCTTTGCTTGTGCATGTGTCATGCTCTGTTGTATATTTGTGTCATCATCTTTTGGCTTACAGGCACCTTTAGTAGCTGACGCGCCTTCGGCGAGATAAACGTGTCATCTTACCGCCGCTCACTCGCAGTCAGAGCCTATCAGGAGGAGGTTTCGTTTGACAAACCCCCCCCCCCGGCACCACCCCCGCGCCCCAGCGGGGATGGGAACGAACCCCAGACACCCCCCTGGCACCCCCGCGGACGCGCCGCGGCCAACCCCCCGGGGCACTCCAGGGGGGGGGGCGATTGTGAACGATCCAGAGCATTCCTCCTGTAGAGGGGCCTGCCCGACTTGAGCGAGGGGCCGCTCCAGCTCGGGGGCGCGGCGCGGGGCGGCGCCGACGTGCTCGCGTCCTGGGCGCGGGCGCACGGGGCACCGACGGCGGCCCCCTCTTCGCAGAGGCCGCCCGGCCGAGGCCCTCGGCCACGCCCTGCGGCGCTCGCACGCGCCGTGGAAGCGAGCCGCCGGTCCGAGGGCTCAGTCGCCTCGACACGCCCGTCTTGAAGCGCAACACGTCCCGTGTTCAACACGTCCGTGTCAATACAGTCAATGCATTGCGTGTTGGCTCCAAGTATTGGACCACGTTTTGGCGAATGTACCGCGTCGAACCTGCGTTTTCAGCCCACGTGTTGAGCTCCGTATCAATACGATACGTGTTGCGAGTTGCGTATCGGGGCAGCGAAGTCCGAGGGGGACCGACGTGTGGGGAGCCGGGCAGGCGGCGGGTCTGGACCCAGACCCCCTCGAGGAGTGAACACATCATGATGGGAGGTGTTTCGACATTTTTGGCTTCTGGGGGCCCTCGCCAGGCCTCGGGGCCCGTCAAAAAATGACCCAGGATGAGGAGCCGGTCCTGAGGAAAGGGTCGAGACTTCTCGTAGTCGACATTCTGGAAAAATCATGACGTCGGGGGTCTGGGGATCTATCCCGTGTTCCTGTTGTCTCTTTTTCTTTGAGCGCCCCGGGGGCAGGCCGTGGGTCAGACTCAGCGGCCCTGCATCCATCTGCCATCGCCAGGATCCAGAGTTTCCCTAGCTGTAGCCGCCGCTGCTGCTGTCTGGTGGTGATCTCCGAAGCGCCATTACTTATGCTATCTCCTCATCCTCCTCCTGCTCCTCCTCCTCCTCCTCCCTCCTCCTCCTCCTCCTCCTCCTCCTCCTCCTCTCCTCCTCCTCTCCTCCTCCTCCTCCTCCTCCTCCTCCTCCTCCTCCTCCTCCTCCCCCCTCCTCCTCCTCCTCCTCCTCCCCCCCTCCTCCTCCTCCTCCCTCCCTCCCTCCCTCCCCCTCCCTCCCTCCCTCCCCCTCCCTCCCTCCCTCCCCTCCCTCCTCCCTCCTCCCTCCTCCTCCTCCTCCTCCTCCTCCTCCTCCTCGTCCTCCTCCTTCCTCCTCCTCCTCCTCCTCCTCCTCCTCCTCCTCCTCCTTCCTCTCCGCCTCCTCGCGCGCAAAGGCCAGCAAGGGGCTTTCCTCTGCGCCGGGTAGCGGCGGTGACATGCTGTGCGTGGCCCCCGTGGAGGCGCCGCGCCCTGGCCTTCTCTCGCGCCGCGACGAACGCCACGATTGGATCGGCCGGCTCGACCCGATTCGACGTTGACTCTTTGGGAACAGGGGACCCCTTGGAGAATTGGCGGTTGTTGCGTGTTGCTCCTGAGGGCCTCTTGTGCGCCTTTTGGTGGCCTCTTGGAGCTATTTTCGGGCTTCATGGGGGCCTCTTGGGTGCCTTTTCGGGGCCTCTTGGGCTGACATTCTCAGCATTCGCCGTGCGCGCATAGGGAAACGGGCGAGAAACCACGTATACAGACGGCGGGCATCTGTCAAAACACCCGAAGAATGAGAACCGAATGGCCTTCGGCACATCTCGCCATGCCTGGGTTGCGGGTCTGAGGCCACTCGGATGACTGATGGGTCTTGTGGGAGGCGTCTCGGGGGCGTCTTGGAAGCAGTTTTTGAACCTCTCGGGGGCCTCCTGGGGGCCTTTTGGAAGCTTTTTGCGGCCATCTCGGAGCTCCCTGGGGGCCTGTTCGGAGCTTCTTTGGGCAACCCGAAGGCGCCTTGGATGGAAGGCTCGAAATGTCCGTTCGGGTTCCCCCTCTGGGCCCCCTCTTGGGGCTGTCCTGGGGCCCTCCTGGGCCGTCTGGGGGGCTTCTTGGGCCGTCTTCGGGCCCTCTTTGGGACGTTGTGAACTCCCAGACAAAGGCGAATGCACTAAAAATGCACGTTTTCCGAAGGGAATGGGACGGCTTCTGCTTCTGGAGACTCTTGGGACGCCTCTTGGGGGTTTCTTGGGTCGTCTTGGGGGCCTCTTGGGCCGTCTGGAGGCCAGCTTGGATGTTTTGGATCGATCTTTCAGCGACTCGTGGACCGCCCCACGGGCCTCTTGGGGCCTTCTTGGCCTTTCTGGGGCCCGCTGCTTCCCCAGGTGCGTTCAGCCAGATCCTGGGGACTCCCCCCCGTCCAAATCAACCGGACCAGGCTGCCGGGGGGAGGGGTTTGGGGAGGGGGAACAACTCACACGCCGATGAACCCCAAGGGGCCAGCGGATTTCTGCCAGTGTGGCCCGATGCCGGCGTGGCGCCGCGCCCTGGCCTTCTCGCGCCGCGACGAAAGTCATGATCCGATCGACCCGATTCGATGTAAATTTCGACCGGCTCGACCCGACTCGATTTTGATCGGGGGCCTTGGGACGGGGGTTCAATGCAAGTCAGCCAGAGTGCCGGATTTTGCTGGATCCTGCAGGGCAGATGCTGCACTGACCCAGGCTTGGCTGCAGGATCCTGATCTTGCAATCCCTGACTGACCCGGGTCTGGATTTTTCGGCCAGTGTGGCCCGATGCTTGTGTGGCGCCATTGTGCATGCTGGCGCGGTTGGTCCGAATCCGCAGACGATCCCGCGCCCGATGCAGCCCGATCTGGCGCACTGACGATCCGATGCTGGCTGATCCTGTCTGGGGCAACGGTGAGGGGGGAATAGGCGCACGGGGGGACGCATCGGCCCCTAACCGCCGATTGATCGCCGATACGGGCTGGGTAGCCCACTCCGCCCAGGAACGTTCGGATGCGATATCGGGGGCCTATCGCCGATGTATCGGCGATGTATCGCCGATCCCAGATCGATGTTTCCCCCCTTGGGCCGGTCCCCTCTGTAACGTCGGTTCGTGGTTCGAGGTTGAGTGGGTCGAGGTTCGAGGTATTCGGGTGCTTTCCTTGGTTCTAGGCGGTTTTCTGGCCTCGGGATGCCTTCCAGCAGCTGCGTCCGCCAAGAGCGTTACTGGGGTGCCCGAATCGGCCCGAACGGCCGCTGGAGGCCCGAGCCATGGCCCGAAAGCCGCTCCTCTTGTTCGTCGTGGCGAGGTCATGGCGGGAGGTTTCTGGCCGTTCTCCACCTCCAGGAGGGCCCGCACCAGCCACCCTTGGGACCGTCAACGAAAGGACCCAGGGTGAAGAGAGCCGGTCCCTGGGGGGGGTCCAAACTTCGGAGACACGCTGTGGGCAAAGCACGACGTCGGATGCTTGGTGAGCACGAGGTTTGGTTGAATCGCGGGTCACGCGGGTGCGTGCCGTAGTGGAGCAAGACACGCTCACAGACCCTTCAACCGTACAGTACACCTAGAAATTGTCCAGGGGAAAAGCTATCTAAGCGCTGGGCGCCCTGGGACTGTCCAGCTTGTAAGTGTCTGGCAGGAGGGAGGTGGAAGAGGATGACGAGAAGGATGAGCATTTGGAGGAGGGGGGAGTGTGATCGAAGATAGTTGTTTTAATCAAATGCTTTCATATTTCTTCCTGAGCCTCTTGGGGCGCCCTCGTGCCCACGGATCGTTCTGGTTTGGTCTTGTTGTCAGAGCACATACTGGAGGAGGTCCGAGGGCCAATTTTTGCGATTGGAGGTGGAGGAAGAGGGGAGGAGGAGGAGGACGAGGAGGCGGAGGATGAGGCGGAAGAGGCGGATGAAGAAAGTTTAGGTTCTACGTAGCTTCGAAGGGCTCTGGGACTCTTCAGGAGGGTTTCTGGCGGGTGGGTGGTTGCAGGTGGTTTCTGGGGTTTCCATTGGGGACGGGAGGTGATGGAGGTCATGCAGGATGATGTTGTTGCTGCTGTTGCTGATGATGATGATGAGGAGGAGGAGGAGCAGGAGGAAGGGGAAAAAGAGGACGAGCCGGGAAGAGGTGCAGGAAGAGTAGGATGCAGTAGGTGGCGGACGAACGGACTGGGGGAGTGAGGAGGAAGGGGGTGTTGGGGGATGAGGAGAAGCAACTGGGGCTAATAGGTAGGAAGAGAGTGAGAGGGTGAGGCGGAGGAGGAGGAGGAGGAGAAATGACAGGGAGGATGAGGATGATGGATGAAGGGGAGGAGGAGGCGGAGGCGGAGAAGGGGATGCTCATGATGATGATGGTTATATTGCTGGTGAGTATGGTGATGATGATGATGATGCTGATGATGATGCTGATGTTGATGCTGATGCTGAGGCTGATGATGATGGTGGTGGCGGTGGCGGTGATGATGATGGTGATAATGGTGCTGCTGATGCTGATGATGATGACAATGATGATGACAATGATGATGGCAATGATGATGATGATGATGCTGATGCTGATGCTGATGATGATGATGATGATGATCATGGTGCTCATGATGATGACGAATACGATGATAATGCTGATGATGCTGATGATGTTGATGATGATGATGCTGCTGGTGGTGTAGCTCTTGCAGGTCATAATGGTGCCGATGATGATGAGGATGAGGAGGATGCGGAGTAGGATGACAATGGCGGCGGTGATGGTAATGACGACGACGATGATGGTGATGGCGACGGTGATGGTGATGCTTATGGTGTTGGTGGCGTTGATGATAGTGGTGATGACAAAGACGTTGATAGTGGTGTTGTTGATTATGATGATTAATACGACGATGATGATGATGATGTTGCTGATGATGATGATGCTGATGATGATGATGATGGTAATGATCATGATGTTGACGATGATGATGATGATGATGATGATGATGATGATGATGATGATGATGATGATGATGATGTCGAGGATGAGTATGAGGAGGAGGAGGAGGAGGAGGAGGAGGACATTTTGTTCGACCTTCTATCACCCAGGTTCTGCGGAGTCCTCGGGGTCAAGGCGGTTTCGAATGCTTGCGGTGCTTCAAGGGGGTTCTCGGGTGTCCTAGGCCAGGTCGCACGTCACAGGGGTTCAAGGGGGTGTAAGGAAAGGAGGGGCATGAGGCCCAGGGTTAGGAGGAGGACAAGAGTGATGATGGTGATGATGGTGGTGCTGATGATGGTGAACATGGTGCAATGGTGGTGCTGCAGAGGATTCTTGATGAGGGTGACACTGGTAATGGTGATGCTGAGGAGTTGGATACGGACGGGGAATTAGAAGAAGAGGCAGTAGGGCCAAAGGGACAGATCGGTGGAAGGAGAAGAGGGCGCACAGGGAGGAGGAGGAGGAGGAGGAGGAGGAGGAGGAGGAGTAAAGGAAGGAGTCAAGTAGGCTTGGTCGAATGGGTCAGCGAGCTCCGCCCATTCACACCCCCCCTGCCCACAGCACAGGAACAACTGCTGGCGCAACTTGGTATTGGGACTGGCGCGTTTTCCCCCCTGACTAACGCGAGGTCTCGCGCGCAGCCCCGCGTCCGACGACCTTGGCGAGGGGGGAGAGCCACGGGCTGCGCACGGGCGCGAGCGAACTTCAAGAAACACCTCTGCGCTGCGCTGCGGCGAACACGCCGATTGGTCTGGATTTTGAACTCAACAAATTGTTGTTTGAATTCAAGAAACTGGCTTTCACAAAAACTGCTTTTGAATTCAAACGATGTTTGTCCCCAATCAGGGCTTGCTTCTGTAGGGTTCCTAGCGGATGCATCTGGTTAGGTGAAGTACGGCGCCGATTTCGGCGGCACGTCCGGGTGCCCGGGTGTCCAGTAGCCCTATAGCCCTATAGTCTTATAGCCCTATAGCCGTGTAGCCCTAAAGCCCCATAACCTATAGCCCTATAGTCATATAGCCCTAACACCCTAACAGCCCTATAGCCCTACAGCCCTATAGCCCTGTAGCCCTATAGCCCAATAGCCGTATAGCCCTATAGCGTTGTAGCCTTATAGCCTTGTATGCCTATAACTCTAATGGCCCTATAGCCCCAATGCCCCAATAGCCCTGTAGCCTTATAGCAATATAGCCCTACAGCCCCATAGCCTTATTGCCCTACAGCTCTATAGCCCTGTAGCCCTATATGCCCGTAGCCCTGCAGCCCTGTAGCCCTGTAGCCCTTGGGCCCTACAGCCCTATAGCCCTGCAACCCCATAGCCTTATAGCCCTATGGACAGATAGCCCTATAGCCCTAAAAAGATTATGATTGGAGCTTTTCTCTGGTATCATCTAATTCTGCTTTGAGTTTTTCGATTCAAAAACAAGTGCCCCGCGCGGCCAGATTCCCAACGAGCGCGGCACAGGCGAAGCGCCCGCCGCGCCGAGGCAGAAGCGCCCGCCCTCGCGCCCGCTGCCTCGGCTGCCTTCCCGCGACTGGGCGACCGATAAGCACGCGCCGCGCCCGAGCGGGACCACACACACACACACATTCACATTCACATTTGAATACACACACATCTCACATCCACAAACACACACACACACACACTTTCATGCGACTTCAGCACGTGGCTCGCGCGAAGGAAACAGTTCGCCCGCCCGCGCGCGGCGTCGCCTTCGATGCGACAGGTGTGCGCCGCGCCCACGCGGGAGGGCCGCCACTCTCAGGCGAAACCTGCGCCACGCAGAGAAAGAGACACATATATATGTGTATATATATATATCTATGTTTCGCCCGTGCGCGCGCGACCTTGCTGTCGGCGAGTCTGCTGGCGAAGAGTGTGCGGTTGCCCAAGCGGGCATTCAGTTTCCTCGAAGAGTGAGCACGGCGCCGAGGCGAGAGCGAGGTTTCGCGCTGTCGCGCGCGATGTGCGCAGCGTCCGATTGTTGTCACGCACCCCTGCATCGCAGACGACAAGACGTCCGTGCTGAACGGGCATGCGTGGATTGCGCATTTGGTGGGCAAGATGGGCCCCTGGTCAAGATGGGCCCCTCCCCAAGAGGTGAGGGGCGCTGCGGCCGGCTTGATGGCAATAGCAGAATGAGAAGGAGGAGGAGGAGCAGCAGGAGGAGGAGAACCAGGAGGAGGAGGAGAGCCAGGAGGAGGAAGAGGAGGAGAAGGAGGAGGAGGAGAACCAGGAGGAGGAGGAGGAGGAGGAGGAGGAGGAGAACCAGGAGGAGGAGGAGGAGGAGGAGGAGGTGGCGAGGGAGGAGGATGGGGATAGCAAGGAGGCGGCGGAAGGGCTGGATTATGAGGGAGGGGAGCAGGAGGAGGGCGGAGACAGAATGGGGGGGGTCCAGCTGGACGAGGCGACGAGGTGGAGGCGCAGGAGCAAGGAGAGGTGGACGGTGCGGCGGGCAGGAGGAGGAGGAGGGGGGGGAGGAGGAGGAGGAGGAGGAGGAGGAGGAGGAGGAGGAGGAGGAGGAGGCGGACAGGACAGGACAGGACAGGACAGGACAGGACATCCTCATAAGGGGGCCAACCTCAACACCTACACTGGTGCCGTGCGCGCGACTAGCAAAACACCTTGCGATTAGGTTGTGCAACAGCCCAGACTTCTCACTAGGGTGGCAGGGGGCATACCCCGAAGCTACAAGGGACGAGCTCCGAGGTTGCCCGGTAGGAAAGGTTCGCTACCTAGTGAGTACGAGTCCATGCGTGTCAGTGCAGGGGGACAGCTGTTGGCCCTCTCGCGTGCCCATAACATTTGGGACGTGCTGGGCGAGTAACACTTGGGACGTGCTGGGCGAGCAGGGCTCCCAAGCGAAGGGGGAGAAACCACGACACGACCACCCAAAAAGGAGAAGAGGAGGGAAATCAAGAGGCCCTTGGTTTCCAAACTGTTGCTGGGAGGGGGGGGGCCTCATTACAGTCGACCTACGACCAACTGTTTTTATTCCTACCCTGGTCCCTCTTTCCTCTCTAGACTCTGGGCTCACTTCTCCTCCTGAGCGTGCTGGCCGTTGGTTGTCCCATGTATTGCCTTTTTTTGCCCTGATGCTTTGCAGTAGTATTCCACAGTGCCCCTTCGGTGAGTAGGTAGAGGAGAGCATACTGATAGTCACGGCATGCGGGAGGTTGGTTAGCATTCCCTCCTCCAGTCGTCCAGTTTCGAGATAGGCGGGGCCCTCGAGGATGCGCTCTGGTGGTCTCCGTGGTTATCTCATTTTCCCATCCTCACTTCCTGCAGTAGTGTATCTGTCGGCACGCCAAAACATCATTTTCCAAGACGTTGTCTGCGCGAGCACACTCCTGAGGGTCCTCACGCCGCGATGTCCCCACGAGTAATGGTCCCTCTGAGTCTGCCCGTCCTGCTCGCCTAGAGTCGCACTCCGAGAAATCCTCGCTAATGCCCCTCTTGGCGTTGCAAGTGGGCGGGCTCTCTCGCCCGCGGCCGCTGGAGCTGGCCGCCTCCTCCGACTTGGCGTGTATCTCGACGAGCTCGGTGGCATCAAACAGGGTCTTCGTACTGTCTCGGAGCTGCTGACGCTTTGTGAGCCTCTTTACCTCCTCTGGGTCGAGTGTATCCTCGTTCTTCTTTTCTTTCAAGGTAACCTTCATGACGCTGTACAGGTTCCCCTTGTCGTTGTTCGAGATCTTCAGCGCCACCTCGCACCAGCTTTGCGTAGAGCAGGCCCTCGTCCTTGCTCTTTTCCCACGCGTCCACTCGGCACCTTTCGATTAGCGCGCAGCCCTCGACCTGGTGCGTCACCAGGAAGGACGGTGGGATCACCTCGAGCAGTTTCTCTGGGTTCATCTTCTTGGCGGCGGCGTTGAACTTGAAGTGGTTCTCTTTGATGTCGTCGTCCAGCTTCTGCGGCAGTCTGTCCGCTACGAACGCTTCCCGCTTTTCTCCGACCTTGAGCTCCACCACCATTGAAGGCCCCTAGAACTTCGCCGTGCACCCGATGGCGGGCCACTTTTCGCAGTCCTTGCCGAAGTCCTTCTGCATCTTGTCCACCAACTTTTTCATGAGCTCAGCTTCTGAGTGGCTCTCCTGCGCCGTCACCAGCTGTTTCCAGTCCACTTTGCACCAGAACTTCCACCGGTCTCCCCTCGAGTTGGGGCTTGGGCCTTTTCCACCATAGCTTGTTAAGGAAGGCAAGTTCGCACGAGCAGGCAATGTCCTTCTTCTGGTCCCATCCCAGGCTCCTCCTGCACACGTTGAATAGCTGCATGCTATCGCTCCTCTTGTCCACGAACACCAGCGCCTTGAGGTACTTTGTCTGTTTCTCCCACTTGTCTTCTGCTGTCTGGTAGTCGGCTATATCGTGCAGTTCCTTCTCCTTCTTTTCCTCATTGGCTGCATTCAGCCTTGCTTCGTCATTTACGTCCATGGCTATGTACTTTGTTCAGCAGGATGTCATATTGTTCTGCGCGCCTTGAGGCATCTGCCACGCTGAAGGCTGCGAAGATGCCCCCGTCAATGTTGATTCCCTCCAGCAGTGCCTTTGACATCTGCTTGGGCCTATCGATGACCATCTTGTTCCTCTGATTGCGAGACTCTTTCTTAGGCCATTCGTCGGTTTCGATGATAGCCTTCGCTGCCTGGATCTGCCCCAAGGACTGGGCTGCCCACGCGGCGCCTTTAGCTTTCCTCTTCGGTCCTCGGCAGACTTGCTCCCTCGTAATGTACTGGTCTCCTCCATGTCGAATCTTCTCCTCGTCACTCCACTCGACCACTCCTCCTGCCCGAGCTCCTGCTCGCAGTCGATGCACACCCTCTTCCATTGACTTCCTTTGCCTCCTTGGTTTTTGTTCATGTCCTGGCTCGTTCTTGGTGTGCTCCCTGTGGCTTTCGATCATCTTGTAGTACCCGAGCCCCTTGCTGCAGCGGCCGCAATGCCATAGCTTGTCGCTGCTCGTGAAGGCCACGGACAGCATCCAGCGTCCTGCACTCCGAGGCATTCCCGCTAGTGCGCGACGCTTGCGCACTTGGACCGTCGTTGAGCCAGATGGGCTGTGGAGGCCGAAGGTGATCGATGGAGGCGGAAGTGTAGTGCCCAGTGGCTCCGAGGATATCGCATAGTATTCCGGATTCTGGTCCCGCTCTTCCCCTCCCACTGCCAGTGACCCATTTATCTTTACATTGTGCATATGATGGCTGTACAGTATGCAAAACCCCACCCACCGTCTGTCCGTAGCTGTAATGGAATAGGGGGAGGTAGATCGATATTGTGTCGTCACAGATGAAGATGTCGGCTACTGACTGGGACGGGAGGACTAGCTGCTGCCTGGGAGGCCTCTTCCCAAAGCGTTTCTCTGCAACACCGCTTCCCGTTTTGCTCGAAACGTGAGGTCCAATTCGTGTATCCGACCCTCTGGGGCAAAAAGTCTAAGCTTGGCTGGTTGAGTCAGCTATCTTTGCATCATCTGAAAGATGTCTCTTCCGCTTTGCTTGTCCGCTGTAGGAGGAGGAGGAGGAGGAGGAGCAACAGCAGCAGGAGGAGGAGCAGCAGGAGGAGGAGGAGCAGGAGGAGGAGGAGGAGCACCAGGAGCTAGGAGGAGGAGGAGAAGGCAGCGGCTGAGGGCACAGGGCGGAGGAGGAGGGGCGAGGAGGGCGGGGAGGGGGCAGCACGGGAGAGATCCGCAGGAGGGGGGCCAGGAGCAGAACATGTGTGGCAGAACCAGGCGGGCTGATCGGGCGGGTAGGCCCTCACTGGGCGGGTCGGGGAGGCGGGCCTCGGCGGCCAGGTCGAAGAGGCAGCAGCGGGATGCAAGCAGCGAGGGCGGGCGGAGCAGCGAGCGCAGTTGCCGCACCCCCGCAGGCGGGCGCCGAGACGCAGCGCCGGCGGCGCCGTCCGACCCTCACCCAGTCAATGAGCAGCCAGCTGGCCCCAGGCACCCTCGTCGTCGTCGCCGCTGGCCTTCTGGCGGCCTTCGTCGTGAGGCCAGCAGCCGGGGCTCGACCCGAACGGTGTGTGGGCGATGCCGTGGACCGTTCTCGTACTGGTGTCGCTTTGCTGCAGAGGTGGATCGGAGGACAGAGCGAGGGATAACGAAGTTACGCTACCGAGGAACCCCGCATACTTATTTTATGTCACGTGTGTTCACAAACCATGTCACATCTCGCTTCGCCATCCTGACGAGAGACTGCCCAGACCAGCCAGATCAGCCAGACCAGCCAGACTGACCAGACCAGCCAGACCATTCGTTCCAGCCATAACCAGCCTAAGTAATCAGACCAGCCAGCCAGGCCAATTAAGCAGACCAGCCCGACCAACAATATTAGTCATGCCAACAACCGCAGCCAGACTCAGCCGGACTAACCACACGAGCCAACCAGGCCAACCAACTTGGACCATCCGGTTCAAGAGAATGGTGCACGGAGGTGGCGATTCGGCCACTGCACATTTTGGGGGCATGCCTGTGGGCGCCTGCTGTCTTTGAGCCTGCCCTGAGCCGAGGTGTCTACAGTTAACCTTGCTGAGAATACTTCTGCCGCATACACGCCTGAGGCACCGGTGCATACTGCCCAAGATATAGACTCCAGCAAATGTCAAGGCTGCTACGCTACCTACGTACCCCCTCTGCTGTCAAGCCCCCTGTGGCGTCGAGGAAATGCCACGCCTGCCATACCCTGGGAGCCTGCAGCGCACAGGGCCCCCACCCCCAGCGCACCCCCTGTGGCGTCGAGGAAATGCCACGCCTGCCACGCCCTGGGAGCCTGCAGCGCACCCCTCCGGTGTCGAGGACATTCCACTCCTGCTAGGCCCTGCGACATTGGCGCGTATAGAGACTGCGGTGGGCCCCCACCCCCAGCGCACTCCCTGTGGCGTCGAGGAATGGCATTCCTGCTAGGCCCTGCGACATTGGCGCGTATAGAGACCGCGGTGGGCCCCCACCCCCAGCGCACCCCCTGTGGCGTCGAGAGAGTACCACTCCTGCTAGGCCCTGCGACATTGGCGCGTATAGAGACCGCGGTGGGCCCCCACCCCCAGCGCACCCCCTGTGGCGTCGAGGACATTCCACTCCTGCTAGGCCCTGCGACATTGGCGCGTAGAGACCGGGGTGGGCCCCCACCCCCAGCGCACCCCCTGTGGCGTCGAGGAAGTGCCATTCCTGCTAGGCCCTGCGACATTGGCGCGTACAGAGGCCGCGGTGGGCCCCCACCCCCAGCGCACCCCCCGTGGCGTCGAGGAATGCCATTCCTGCTAGGCCCTGCGACATTGGCGCGTACAGAGGCCGCGGTGGGCCCCCACCCCCAGCGCACCCCCTGTGGCGTCGAGGACATTCCACTCCTGCGAGGCCCTGCGACATTGGCGCGTATAGAGACCGCGGTGGGCCCCCACCCCCAGCGCAACCCATGTGGCGTCGAGGAAGTGCCACTCCTGCGAGGCCCTGCGACATTGGCGCATAGAGACCGCGGAGGGCCCCCACCCCCAGCGCACACCCTGTGGCGTCGAGGAAATGCCACGCCTGCGAGGCCCTGACATTGGCGCGTATAGAGACTGCGGGGGCCCCCACCACCCCCAGCGCACCCCTGGGCGTAGACGAAATTCTGCGAGGCCCTGCGACATTGGCGCGTATAGAGACCGGGGGGGCCCCCACCCCCAGCGCACCCCTGTGGCGTCGGGAAGTGCCATTCCTGCTAGGCCCTGCGACATTGGCGCGTATAGAGACCGCGGTGGGCCCCCACCCCCAGCGCACCCCCCGTGGCGTCGAGGAATGCCATTCCTGCTAGGCCCTGCGACATTGGCGCGTACAGAGGCCGCGGTGGGCCCCCACCCCCAGCGCACCCCCTGTGGCGTCGAGGACATTCCACTCCTGCGAGGCCCTGCGACATTGGCGCGTATAGAGACTGCGGTGGGCCCCCACCCCCAGCGCACTCCCTGTGGCGTAGACGAAATTCCACTGTTGCTAGGCCCTGCGACATTGGCGCGTATAGAGACCGCGGTGGGCCCCCACCCCCAGCGCACCCCCGGGGCGTCGAGGAAATGCCACGCTTGCCACGCTTTGCGAAACCGAAACGCACAGGGCCCCCACCCACAGCGCACCCCTTGCGGCGTCGAGGACATGCCACGCCTGCCACGTTTTGCGAAACCGAAGCGCATAGGGCCCCCACCCCCAGCGCACCCCCATGTGGCGTCGAGGGAATGCCACGCCTGCTACGCTCTGCGAGCCCGAAACGGATAGGGGGACCACCCCCTGCGCACACCCTCTGGTGTCGATGCCACGCCTGCCACGCTTTGCGAGACCGAGCGCTGTGCTGTGTGCTGTGTGCTGTGTGCTGTGTGCTGTGTGCTGTGTGTTGTGTGTGTTGTGTGTGTTGTGGGTGTTGTGGGTGTTGTGTGTGTGTGTGCTGGCGTGTTTATGTGTCTGTGTGTATGTTTGAATGTGTATGTGTGCGCTGTTCCGTGCTGTGTTGTGCTGTGCTGTGGGTGAGGGAGGGACGGGGAGAAGGGGGAGGAGGGGATGAGGGAGGAAGACGCGGGTGCGACGCGGGAGGGAAGAAAACCATAACCCCACCAAGCATGTGGGGAAAAAGAAAACGAACACGAAAAGCACCGTTCCAGGCGATCCCTGTCGCAGGCGAGTTTTCCCCCCCAATCCCCGAGTTCCGCTCGAAAAGGTTGGCCGCTCAGGAAAAACGGGAATCATTGGGATACGCCCCAGGAGGGCTATTCGGACGCACCTTTATCGAGGGCTCACGCCCCCCCATCGTGTATCCCAGGGTTGGGCCCCGACTTGTTGGCCCATTCGAAAATCCCACGACGCCTGGCGTAGGGGTCGACGCATCCCTCTGTGACCCTGCCGGCCGCAGCTCTCCGCCGACGGGGATCCCACCGGGGATGTCGTGGTCGGCGTTTAAGGATGGGGGGAGCGCGCCGAGGTCGGCGCAGGGGCCTGGGCCCCGCCGGTGGGGGGCCCCCAGCCCTCGTGCCTCCCGCTCTGTCGCCTCCTCCTCCTCCTCCTCCTCCTCCTCCTCCTCCTCCCTCCTCCTCCCCTCCTCCTCCTCCTCCTCCTCCTCCTCCTCCTCCTCCCCCCCCTCCTCCTCTCTCTCCTCCTCCTCCTCCTCCTCCTCCTCCTCCTCCTCCTCCTCCTCCTCCTCCTCCTCCTCCTCCTCCTCCTCTTCCTCCTCCTCCTCCTCCTCCTCCTCCTCCTCCTCCTCCTCCTCCTCCTCCTCCTCCTCCTCCTCCTCCTCTCCTCTCTCTCTCTCTCTCCTCCTCCTCCTCCTCCTCCTCCTCCTCCTCCTCCTCCTCCTCCTCTCCTCCTCCTCTCCTCCTCCGCCTCTCCTCTCTCCTCCTCCTCCTCCTCCTCCTCCTCCTCCTCCTCCTCCTCCTCCTCCTCCTCCTCCCCCTCCTGCCCAAGTCTCTGGAGGAGACCAGGTCCTGTTTTGCTCCTCTTGTTTGCCGTTTGCGATCCAGCAAAACGAACCAGCGTGGCCTCAAGGAGCTGTGCAAAAGGGCCCCGTAAGATCCTTGGTGGGGCCGCATACACGTCCCGTTTAAGGCTCAAGAGTGGCGAGCACCCCACGAATGCAGGCACGTTTTTTCGCCGATGTTAGTTCCCCCTCCGAGGCCACCCGCGAGGGCTGGTCCAGCCACTTTGGATTGGCAGCTGGAGGTGGGGGTCCGGCTGCTGGCCCGAGCGTGCGCCGTTTCATTGAGCAGTCGACCCCTGTTCGAATGGGGCTTGCTGCAGTGCTTTTCTCGTTTCGGGCTGGGCTCCCGAGAGGAGGTGGAAGCTGTTGGTGCGCGTGAGCTGGAAGCTCGTGCGTTAGCGCTGTCTCGGAAGGCCAAGGGAGATCTCGACCCAGAGGCCATGTGGTGTTTTTAGGGGGGGCCCTGTCGGCGGGCCCTGCCTGGGGGATGAAACTTCAGGCTGGGAACAACAAGTTCTCATCGGATGGGCACCCCCACCCTGTTTTCCCCTCTTTCCCCCTTGACTCCTCTTCCCCTCCATGGACAGAGGACCTCCTCCTCCTCCTCCTCCTCCTCCTCCTCCTCCTCCTCCTCCTCCTCCTCCTCCTCCTCCTCCTCCTAGCCGTTCTGGCTCAGGCTGTTGAGGCCTGGGCTTGCAAGCGCGTGTTTCAGAGCGGCTCGCGCTTGCGGGCCAATCTCGCTGTTCTTTTCACGAGGCCTGTGTGGCCAGCCCTTCGCCGCGGTGCTCCCCGCAGTGGATGGCCCTTCTGGATGGTCAAGTGCTGCCTGGGCCGTGCACCCCCCACTGGGGCTGTCAATGCGAAGTGGCGGACAACTGGGCGTCGAGGATCTCGTGCCGTCTGTGTGGTCGCCCTGCTGCGCAGAAGACCATCCAGGCTGCGCGTCAGGCTGCTGCGAAGGCCAAGGCAGCACAGCAGCCGCTGGGGCCCATTCCAGGCCGCTGTTCGGCCATTGGGCTCAGGGCTCCCCAGGCAATGCGAACGCCAAGATGCTCAAGCAGCTCCAGGAGTTGCAGCAGCAGGTCGCGAAGCTCAAAGGTGGAACCCAACCGTCGTCGGGTACTTTGCCACCGTGGGCCAACGGAGCAGGAGCAGCAGGAGGTGGAAACGGAGGTGGCGGTGCTGCCCTGTCCACCTCGGGGACTGACGTTTTCGCCTGCCTCAAGAAGCTCGGGGTCGACAGTGCGGCCATCGATGCGGTTGTGGAGGCATGGAAGAAAAAAGCGCGCACCTACTGCCCAGTCGGCGCGCTGGAAGGTGGAGAACCTCAAGCCCAAGATCACCGATATGGACGCGCGGATCACCGAGATCGAGCGCCAGCGCACAGCCTTGGACGAGGAGCTCACCACGGTCAAGGTGTCCCTGGATAAGGGGCGCGAGGACCTCGTGCAAGTCCAAGAGCTCTTGTGCAAGGCGCACGTCAACGAGTTCGAGGACCCGCTCAAGGCCATGTCGG